GGGATTGAACTCACAGCGCTCAGCTTTCACTGTCAGATCACCTAGTTAAAATCTAATTATTGTGAATGTGTACTACTGATGAGCGTCATACTAAGGAGAAACAGTTAATCAATATTACTTACTTACACCTGTTACCTCGAATGGAGCATAGACCGTCGACCAACATTCTCCAACCTACACTGTTCAGGGTCTCCTTTGCCAGTTCCATCCAATTGCTGTTCTTTTTTTTATGTCTGTTCCCATTTCTGGGCGTAATGTGTTCCTTGGTTTGTCTCTCTTCCTACTTTTATTTTAACGATTCACTAGATTCAATCTAGTCTCTGATAAAAATATTTCTTCCTCTATAAAATGCATATTCATGCAATACAAAATACGAAAATGATTTGTTTCTTTAAAATCAACAATGATATATTATTTTCTCATACATTAACTGTTTTTCACTTTTATTCTAAAATGAATAAACTCTTTAAGCCAGATTTAGGACAATTAATTCAGTTGCCCAAACGGGAATTTTTTTATTCACTAAACAATTCATACCGAATATTGTTATTGCTTTTCTTTCTTGTTCATCCATTCCTCGTTGTTATTAATTAAATTACTTCTTGTATATTCTTTAAAATCTAGATATTGTACATTGAGAGATAATAATATGGGCGTCCAGTGTACAATACTAATGGACTGTAAATTAAAACTAATTGATAAAATTGTAATTGAAATGTCAGACAGTTTATTTAATTCATATGTTAAACTAAATTATGGACAGTATCAATGAGAAAGTTTTCAGTTTATATAATTTATAATCATTAATAATTTAGATACATCTTTTAGTAGGTATTTTCAACATCATCATAATAATATTAATCATTATTATTATCATTACTATAAATGTTATCACTGCTAGTACATTGACTACTTACATTACTACTGCAATTGCTACTACTACTACTACTACTACTACTACTACTACTACTACTACTACTACTTCTGTGGTGCGAACTACTTATAAGTAGTAAATGACGTGAGTGTCAACGTAAAGTCTGGTAGCATAATATGGGGGGAAGATCAAGAAAGGAAGAGTTAGAAAACAATGGAATTTCTATGAAACGTATGAATAGTGACAATGGATTGATGTTTTGCAACAGGAACAGTCCAGTTCCATAGGATGAACTGATCTTTTGCAAATGAACAATTTACGATATGGTTTTCCAATTTTACTGAGTAACTCTGTAATTTTCGTTAAATGCAATTCGGTTGCCCCACCTGTGTTCTCATTCACTACACTACTACTACTACTACCATTTTAATGGTTCATGTTGCTGAAATGAAAAATCATTGAGGTCTGATTTCAATCTACAAATTCTAAGATTTTGTGACAACGAATTATCGTGTTATTTGAATTTTTTAAGTTTGTAATGGTTGTTAAGTTCATCCAATGAAATTTATTAGGACAAATTATTTAGATAGAGCACATTATAAGTAAAGATGGATGGTGGCTAGCAATTGAACCTCGGACGTTCATCTCGTCCTAAATGACAACTATCAGATGAATATACTTGGATTCTAAAAGTTTATGTTCCTTCTGAGATGCACATATGTCGAAAAGAGAGATCAATTACAGTTTTAAATATCCGTGAGAATATGCAAACAACCAATACTAATGAATTGAGATGAATTTTATTAAAATATAATTTGAATAATCATAACTTACACTCATGAAGAGTCAATTTCATTCTGGTATCTAAAGTGAACTTGTCGATACATGAGAGTAAGTCAATCTTCAGTGTATTCATGCATATTCATTTCCATTCTAAGGATATGCTAAGCCCCAGAACGCCCACTAAAGGACATTGTTCCGCAACCAACACATAAATCATCATATTAAACTTGCAATAATCCACATCTAATTCCTCTTTTAGAAAGTTACTGTTGTAAATAACAATTATGATTACAAATTACTACACATTTGTATCGACTGACCACGGTAATATTTATTGTGACTTTAGTGCTGACCAAATTCTTTCGTTCTGAGTGCAACTAGTCTAATTTACTTAACATAACCATGTTTCAATATTAGGTGATTTAAGTTAGTCAACAATAAACATTACTTGACCTAAATTTCATGATATTTGCCACAAATCAATAATGGTGAATGGACTCTCGCTACCATCGGCCATACCAAGGTATTTGGGATGAAATATATTATATGGGGTAACATTGTTGCAATATCGATTATGTAAAAGAAATCTGTTAACTAAAAAGTATGTCACCGCAGATACATTTTAATATGCTGGCAACTATTTCAACAGAATTATTGATTTGTTAAATAATCGTTTATAAAAACAAGAGTTAAAAAGTAATCTTTCGCATGTTACTTTCCGTTACATTCAGTTCAGAAAAACACACCTCATATACGCTTACCTGATTTTCTATACGAGTAAGAAGATTGCAAAAAAATGACTGGATAAGCTTTAATTGACTAATGGAATCATAGTATACATAAATCATAGGTGTATACAACTATCCTTCTAATCTATAAAAGGACATGTAGACTAAAATATTGACTAGTTACAGAATCGATTTTCTCTAACAACCCATCTGATTCATAAATACTCTACTTTTTTGAATTGACATATAGGTATAAGCACATGATACATTTGCATATTAAATGGTTAGAAGTAATTGCTCGAAACCTCATTCACTCAATATCCCATTACCAAAGTATATTAGCAATATTACAATGAAATGCTATACCTTTCATTATCATTAGAACTGTATAATTTAAACATTAATTGAAAATCTAATAGTGAACAAGTAAACTGTAATGTTTTATCACATAAACTAATGAATACATTACCACTGGATCGATATGGCATTCGATTAACATCATCTCCTGACGATTCAATCAATAGAATGTTGATTATTAGTTGAAATGATTATTGTTTGTTGTAAACATTTTGTCGAACTTCTGATTGGAAGTTCAACATTCATTTATGTATACACATCGTTCCACTGACTCATGTTTCTTTACGCTTCTGTACAAATGGTATGGTTATTCTAGTTTATGATTACTTCTGTTAAGAAAGAAAAATGTTGACATTCACTTTTAAGCTGCTAATTCTCACCACCTCGGTTTTTTCCTTTTCCATTATTGTGTTCTTGTTTGCCTGTTTGTCTGTCTGTGTGTGTGTATATGTGTGTATGCGTATGCGTTTGTGCGTTTTGTCTGGCAGATATTTTTACATTCCTTATAATCTTCTACATAATGAATTTTATCATTCTTCATTTATCTGTAAAAATTGTTTATCTTTACACTTGATTGTTTATTGGAAAAAGTAAATAACACTCTATTGAAGGTTGATCAATAAAGAAAATCTATTTGTTCATTTTCTAGTTAATAATCATTTAAATTTTCCCATAGATCATATCTTCTCACTCTAGATGTAACACAAATCTGAAGAGATTTTTTTATTTTTGGGGATACTTGTTGTATATTTCAGTAATGATAAGTAATTTTTACAGGTTTATTTTATTAACTGGCATCAAACAGTGATTACTGAATTCAAATGAAAATCTGTTATGAAATGAGTTTTGTTTTGGATTTTTTTAAAAATCTCTGTCGTCATCAGTGCTGAATAGTCAGAAAGATGTCATAAACCATAGGATTAAGTGAGTATTAGTAAAATCCATAAAAAGAACAAAATTTAATACTAACACATTATAAAACAGTGTGTAATTCCTTCATTTGCATTTGGTTTTGCAATTCTTCTCATTGATATTTACATCTCCGGTCGACTTTTTTTTCATATATGTTCCTCTTGTGAGAATAACTTCGATATTTTACATAAGTTAAAAGTATTTTTAAGCACAGACGGTTAGTAGTTATCAATAGAATCCAAGACGTGTGTATGAACCGGGATCCCTGTGAACTTGTTAACGACCTAGTCAGTTCTATAGCTGGTAAAGAAGTATTGATAAATTTATTGTTATGTGAAATCATAGGAAGCCATAGAATGCAAGACAGAAATAAATCTTACAGACGAATTACTTTGTTTGTCTTCAATAATAATACCCTACAAAAGATAGAAAAAAAATCGATGTAATGCTATTTACGCATTAAAATTATTCAGTGCAATTTTGAAAATGTTCTCTAATCGTAGATTTATTTATTCTTTCAAATTTTGCTACTCACTAGTAGTTTGTATTTTATCACTAAAGTATCGTATTTGCGATGATGATGATTCTTTTGGGTTAAATTTTATTCATTAAAAATAATGAAATATCTAATTTGTACTCTGCTATGAAAGAAATGAAGAGAAAAATTATGACGGTGGTGAATGATTTTTTTTCAGTCCTTTCAAAAAAAACACTGTATACATTATGGGTGTTATTCATCTGTTTTTTTTTATGCCAAACATAAACATTGTTATCATTTATTCTATTAAACAGAAAAATTTATTTTCACTGAACCAATCAGATTTCAATAAATTGTTCAGTACACAAAATCGTTTGCACAAAGTTGTATGTTTGTGATGAATGAAGTCAATCGTTCACTTTTAAATGAAATGTCTAAATAATCTTCATTATATATATGTATATAATTATGTTTTTGTCACATTTTTAGAAGCACAATTTGTTTGAATGCGGGCATTTATTTTCCCTTGCTGGTAATATTCAGGTGACAAGATGTGTATCTGTAAAATATATGTATATATATCTATATATATATGCACCAAGTTAAATATAAACCGGATGTTTAGCTAATATAAACAAATGAACCAAAGATTTCGTTTCACTCTTTCACGTATATTATTCTTCCCTATAGTACTTATTTGTCATGAAAATATTGGAAATTTAACTGGAATACAGATTATTTCATCTTGTGTAACGGATTTCATCATTGATAAAACATTGATCATTCAGCATTAACAAATGATGAATGTTGTTTAATTGTTTGACAATAATACACATATTTACATAAATAAAAGCAGAAGAGCATTATTATGAGATTAGTATTACATCTTTTTACAATAGTACATATTATTATTCCTTTACTTTTTATTCATGCTCATAATAAATCTTTCAATAAATCAATAAATAGTGTTAATCATACAGAGTTAACTAGTATTATTAATGTTGGACCACCAAGAAATTTAATGCTTGACATTGCCTGTGATCAATTACGTCCATGTATTAAATCATCATGGCTTCCACCAGTTGAATATGAAAAAGACAATATCAACCACCATCAACATGAATATGCCAATAAACATTCGAATAAGAATGGAATATTAGCTTATCGGCTACGTTATCGTATCATTTATCCAATTGAATTATCACAAATCAATGCATTTCATGTTGATAATAATAATAACAATAACAATAATAATAATAATGATAAAAGTCATGCTGAAATCAATTACAAATTATTCAGTAAAATCATTGAAAAGAATATTACTGGTTTACAATATACCAGTAATCCCGGGGAACATTGTAAGTTTTTAATCAATATTGATTGAGTGATGATGATGATGGTGATGATGTCACTTGAAAGTGATTTCTATTGAAATCTTGTATTTCATTGATTTGATTGTTTGTTTTTTGATGGTAATAGTCATGAATTTTATATTGATAAAATGTAGAATTTAGCTGTTGTTGCAACCAGGATCAGCCATTGATCTTTCTTTTATGAGATATATACCATTTAGTCATGAGCTTTTCAATTAAGTTGGTTAATGTCTTTTTGATGGAAGGCAAGGTATGAGCTTTGTTCTGTTTAGAACGCATCAATTGAATGTAACTGGATCTTAGTGTTGATTTTCATGACGAGACTAGAATTCATTATCTTTTGCTGCATATATCCAACTTATTATGCAACAAACTTTTAAAATTTTCACTGTCAAATGGTTTTTACAATTGTTTTTTGCTTAACTGTATTCTCTTGTCGATAATAATCTATTACACCGGGAACATTACTCAAACAATCTTTTTTAATGACAATGTGAATAAGTTAACTTGAAAGAATTCATCTTGTTACATTATTCAGTATGTATATATATCGATGCAATACTCATCGTAAGTATTTAGTGAATTAGAGAATGTGTTAGTGTAAGAATATCATTATCAATGTGTGTTCGAACTAAACAAATAATTCAGTAGTTGTTTATAATTTCTTATTCGTCGCCAGGTTATTTGTACAAATTAACACACACACATATATATGATGATGATGAACTTATGTTCACTACATTCTTTACAGTTCTATGTTGTTTTGAAATCTTCGTCAAGTTACTGTTTAATCAAATGTAATATGTGATGTATATTTTCACTGTTTACTGAAGTATTGATGAAAAATTATTTCATATCATGATGATATTTAATGCAGTTTGATTTTTCTCAATTGCACTATGATGACACTTGAAAATTGTTTCCAAATGTAAAAATTACATAAACTAATCGAAACCTTTTAATAATCAGTCAGTTTAATAACTAATCAATGTTGTAAATATGTAATTGATGAATTAAAACTTTGAATGATTAAGTGAATACAGCAGGATTATAAATTTTGCAAATATTAGTAACTTCGAGAGAAGCCTTAAGTTTACAATAAATTAATTTTTCACTATAAAAAAAACATGTTTAACATAAAGTAAATGGTGGTTTCAAGAAAAACAAACAAACAAACAAACTTTAACTAGGTAACTAATGGAAACAAGGAAAAATAAGACAGGTCTTCTGTTCGGAATTGAACGCATCACTCATAAACTTTGAAGAGAACTCTTCATCTTCACATCATGGAGTTGATATTCCTTGTTTATAATTGTATCTTTAGTAAACTTACGATACTGTTTCAAGTTAAATACCATTGGACAATGAGGTGAATCTATTGAAGAGTATGATATTTACTTTTGAATTTTTTCATATTAGAACTCGAGAAAAGCTGTATTGCATTTATGAGATAATGTTAATATCCGGCGCCTTTTAAAAATAAAAACGACTATTTAACAATAATAGATGATAAAAATGAATTACATTGATTTAGATAAACTGAAAAATACTTATTTACTCACGCCTGTTACCTTTAATGTAGCATTGGTCTCTGACCAGCATTCTTCCTTACGAGTTTTACCCGATGGCTGTTCATTCTTTTCACGTCTGTCTCGAATTCTCAACGTAATCTGTTCATTAGTCTTCCTCTTTTCCGTTGGCTCAGACGATTCCAAGTAAGGGTTCATCTCGTGATGCACTGGGAACATTTCCACAATATGTGGTCTATCCACCTCCAGCCCTTTTTCTTCATTTCTTCCTCGGCTGAAATTTGCTTCGCTCTCTTCCACATGGTGTTGATAGTAATTGGAAAATAGACGATCCATTTATTAGAAAATAATCAAAATAACCGATAACGTAGATTAAATTGAACAAAAAAATTGAGCGTAAGGTTGAATGAAAATTGGTAATGATCAATTGTGACAAATTATTTAGGAAGATCTGAATACACAAAGTTTCTAAAAGTTTAAACCTTCTGTCAATATAAACTGGCAGAGAAAATTTAAATAAACTTTATTTATGAAGTAAGTAGAGAAAGGAAAGATTTTCAAAATAATCTCTAAAATGATTTAATGGGAATCAGAAAACAGCTGAGTATTCTAAAAAATAAAACTGAGTTCATCAGAGTAAAATGCAAAATGCAACAACAATATATTCTTTTAACTACATTAAGTTTAAGAGTGTTGACAGTAATTTCTTTAGTGAGTAGTACTCTTTCGCTTTAAAGTTGACTGCCTTAATCAATACGATTTGTAAAAATGTATTTTAATCTAACTAAATTATACTCCCTAGTTATGAATAGAATTGTGTTTAGCATAAATAGGTTTACAAAAAACTGTTCAATAGGTGAATAGCACTAACATATCATGGAATAATAACCTTTGAATTGAATCACTTCCGAGTTTATTGATAAAGAACGATTAAGCATTCACGCGTGAAACCGAAAGACCTGGGTATGAATCCTGTGAATAGTAGGAGTGATGGGTGCGCACTGCTGATGAGTCCTATATCAAGACGAAACAGTCATCCAATGCTTTCAGGTTTGTTTCCTAACGATGGTCTAACGATGACTGATTCACACTTTTGAAATGTAACTCTAATAAAGTTTGGTTGTTATTTTGTTAAAATAAATATAATTGATTTAAATGATATTGACATTTGTTATTAAATGAATCAACTGTGCTCATAAATTGTCTATTTGTTAATCGGATTAACACGAAAAAGTTACCTAGAAAAAAAATGATAAATCATTAGATCTCATCTTAAATTTTTTCGTTTTTCACATATTTATTAAATTTTAATTTTGTCTGACCTTAGAAAATAAAAATTAATTATAGGTGAAAAATTTAAGAAAAATACATTATTTTTATGATTATAAGCAGTGAATATTTAAATAAAGTTTTCATTAGAACGACTTAATTCGATGTATGTAATTGATAATATAGATTGGTTTTTTAGGGTAAACAACTGTTAAAACGAACGTTACATGATGGTGAACTATTCGATAACTACCATTTAAAACCCTATCAGTGGTTGAACAAACGACCCTAAGAACTTGTACGAAAGAACTTGATTTCCTATCCACCCTCCTTCCATATTAAGGCTCGAAACTGGCAGTAACCCAAGAAGCGCTTCCGGTGGAGTTGCTTAGAATGTGTTAATTCTTATTTCAACTTCATTCGATTAAAATAATATATTTCACATAACTAAACTATTGAAAATATTCATTGCCTCATGTATTGCATCTGGTATGCACACTAGTTATTGTATAAGTGAGTACTTGATAATAATAATAATAATAATAATATTGATTTGTAAATTGTATTCATCATCAATTCATTTCATTCACGTTGCAACTACACAACCAATGAATTTTGTTTAACTCTTATCATTAGAATATGGAAGTTTTCATTCGCATAGACTGATGACACTATGAACAACTACAACTTGCAATGTAATCGATCTTCCAATGCAATTCTCTTATCTATTAGAAAGTATTGAGTTAATATAATTTCAATCTAGAAATGAAATGAATTTTTTCTTTTATGTTTTTCTTGCTTAGTAATATACATTTGACATTTACTTTTGCTTATAGAGTTATGTTGATTACAAATGTAAAAGGAATAAGTAAGCAATGCACAAAGTATAAATACATATATGTATGTACCTATATTACCACAGTATGTGACATTGTTATGCAATCTAGAATGAATTACATAGAACATAGAACAGAGAAACAAAAATGGCTTCATTACTGTCAGTTTAAATTTACACTGTTCAAAAACACATTGATTCAAAGATCAAATAGTTAGAGCTGATAAATAAAGAATTTTATTCAATATTCAATAGTTAATAAAATTAAATAATATTGTAAGCAATTTACACTTCAGTATGTGTAGATAATTTTAAGTCACTTTGTAATTTTATAAACCTGTATATAAACAAGTTAATTGATTCTATGAATAAGAAATTACTGATGTGCAAGTTTCTCAATAAGATTGTAAACTTTTATCAACTAAGATGCGTAGGTGGTATTCTATGAATCTTCATTACCACAGATTAGATGAAGATAGATATACTCAGAAAGACACATAAACTCAACAAAAGAAATAGATTTAATCAAGAATTACCAATATGCTGATTACATTCTGCTAGATAACTATTTCAAGCTGCATACACTTTACTGATTAGCTTAAGTTTTAAGGATAGCTCTTGCTTATGAGTTGTTTGTATACAGTATGTGATATATCAACAAGCTGATAGTTAACTTCTCTTCCATTTTCAAAAGAATATTAAATGAAGTACCCATTAATATTTATTAATGAACAATAATTGCCAATTCGATTTATATAAGGTTATAAAGAATTCAGAAGATTGGAATTTGAGAGAACACAAAGAGTGGATGCACTTGCACCTTTGTAAATGATTTTGTGTTACACATGTCTCAATCACCTCAACTGATGAAGATTCACTCCTTCAAAAATTGATCAGTCAACCTTACCTGCCACCCTTTTTCTAACAACGGACATTACTTATTCGGTGGTCCAAGGATATAAGGAGAATGCTTTGAGAACACAATAGGTCATTGTAGGATTCAAACAGTTCCATTTAAAAATAATTCATGATTATCAAATAATCTTTATCAATTTTGAATAAGATGATGTTTTCTTTGTAAAAACTACACATCATCCACGAAAATGTGTTGATGAAATTTATAATGATAAAAACATTTTCCTCTGAATAAAAATCTCATTTATATTCTTATTTACAAAATTTTTTATTGATTTTTTATTTAGTGCTTGGTGTAATATATGAAGTTTCAGTAGCTGCAATCACTAAGAATGGATATGGTCAAGAAATAGCTAGTCAAATAGCTATACCTGAATCAGGTAAACCACTTGATACATATTTTAAAGTTGAAATATTTTAAACAAAAAAACTTCTCGATTCAATTGTCATTACATAAATTGTGTTGATTTAGTGATAAATCGTACATCACATAGCGACCTTAGTAAAACAACTATTGGAAATCGAGAAGTATTAAGGAATTCTTTTGTTATAGTATGTTACTCATCAGCAATACTTAGCCAAGAATCTAAGAAAGGAAAATTATGGGAACACTTTCATATCTTGATGAAAGTTTTCACCAACCACTTTTCGCTACAACAAGATTTAGAGATAATTTGTTCAACTTCTGAAGAGTCCCTTATGACCACCAGTAAAGCCAAAATGGATCGGATATGAAACGGATATCACAAGCATCAGTCATAACTGATGCTTGTTTCACAGTGTCCATTTGACTGGTGTAAGAAATATCAACCATTGTATAACAACTTACTGGTTCGGTTATCCGAAGCTTAGCCTTTCATACCTAATGGTTCAAATGTTCAACTGAAATACAACATGTAATATAAACTGTATCATCTGCCAAACCATTTGAATTTGAATTTTCCTAAACTAAAACGCTTTTTATGTTCATAGGAATTAATTAATGCATGTGGACATGTGATTTGTCGAATACACAGGATATTCAGCGAATTAGTTTAGTCATTAAACAGTTTACAAATTGTTGAAATATGTTTTGAAAATCAAATCACCACCGTATTTTTCCCAAGCTTATTCATTGTTTTTTTAAACAATTTTAAAAAAATATAAATGTTATTAGTCGTTTAGAATATTAACATAATAAATCTTTATGTCATTCTCTATATATACATATATATATATATATTTATATATATATATATATATATATTTACAATAATTCATATTTGTAAAAAGTGCTTCTTATTCGAATGGTTGTCAAGTATCCACAGTGTTTCTAATTGATCTTTCAGAATACATTATGAACACTAGGGAAAAGTTGTTATGATCTATACTTATTAATAATTAAGTAAGTTGGTGTGTAAGAATTTAGCAACTATTGGAATCAGTCAGTCAGTCTTTAGTTCACTTGTTCAGACGTTGTTGAATCGGCATTGTTATCATGTCATGACTTCGGATGCAAACAACTATCAGGTATTAGTTTCCAGTTATTTCTCTTTGATATCAACCAATAAAATAAACTACTTTTAGATTATACACTTAGTAATATATACATGAAAACATTAGAAAAGAAGTATTTTTTTCAGGACGATTTTAAAATCCATTTAAAAAGACTTATAAAATATAAAAACACATGTTCATTCATTAAAAAAAACATACTTTTATGACAAAATTTACGATAACTAATTACACTACATCTTCAACGTATCCCACATAAATAGATGCTTATCTTATATGTGCGTATGAAAGTCTTTTTAGGTGCCTTTTTTTCTAATTCGGTAATCTAATGATTTTATCAGTTTTCGTGCATCACAGCAATAAATGAGAAGCAAGAGGAAAAAACAATAAAATATTTGACAAATTCATTCAATGTTCAATGCTAATTAAAAGAAAGTGCAAATACTTTTTACTCTGCCCATCATTTTCAAAATTTGTTTTGATATTTTTATTTTACATCAGATAATTAGTGCTATTTTAGTAATTGAATAAAATTTTAAAAATATCAAATAATTTTTTTGACAAATTTATTAATTTAATGTGTGAAATAGTTCATAAACATATAATCTAATTAAATTATGTTGTAATTCATAGATTGTTGGATAAAAATTACTGTAACTATTGTAACACACATACACACATACACACAAAATCCGGTAGTTTCATTTAAGATATTATGTTCACTAATTAAAACCGACTGGTCAAAAAATGTTATGAGTCTATAGTTTTTTTCCCAATTCAACGTTCAGTTATAACCGGGTTGAAATTTTTTTCCTTACTAAATTTGGGTTATGAATAACAGTAGAATCTAGAATGAATTTTCTTTGTCCTGAGCTTATCCTCTGTATTCCAGTACTCGAATACAATACACATTTAGTTTTAGATTTCACTAGATTACTGAACGCATAGAGCTAACAATGTGTTCAAGTAATTATCATTTGGAATCAGGATTATTTATATTTTCCAGTTATTGATTGATATCGAAGACTGAAATTGATCACAAAAATAAATTTAAAATTTGTTTATAGATATATTAACAGTGAGTTTTAGGAAAATATATATGATATTAATAAAAGTTTGTTTTATAATGCTATTTAGAATTATGTCAGTTCAATGATCTAAGGATTATGTTTGCCCACATGAGACCGATGGCTCCTCTTTCGATTATCGACTGCGGTTTCGCAGGTGTCTACTGCTATTAAGAAACAGTCACCTAGTCAGTTCATAATATAAAATATATGAGAGTTTATAATTGATCAGTGACTTTTGTCATTACCTGATTGCTTGTTGTCAATTTTAGTTTGGGTATGTTCTGTATCCATCCCAAGATCATAGATTTGTTCCAAATAAGCAGTGACTTATGCTCGAGATAATAAAGCTACTTGAAAATTCAGTCTTCTACGTCTTATATTATCATACATTTATTGAAGTGTTATGGCGCGACAAGATGTTCCACCTGCCGAAGATTCCAATGGTTTTTATATTCTCATTAAAAGAATCTCAATTGTTTCATAATCACCGATTACCATAAGCCTGTACTGAAATTAGTCATAAAATACAAAAGTTATCTAATTTTTATCTTTAGAATGATCTGATTGAATGATCTTTAAAATGTTGTTTATATTAGTTAAAAAGAATTTACTTTGAATGTCATTTTTAATAAATGTATACTAAATAACATGGAATCATTGCTAGTTCCTCTTTTCTGGCACATCTTTCAAGTAAATTTATCATTTCAGATTGAGAATTATTAAACATTAAAAATATATCACATACAATAATTTCGGCAATCAAGAATAACTTTGATTGAAAAAAATAGAAATACAGAAACAAAAAAATATCCAACATAATTACAAGTTGAATTACAGTTAAAAAAAAATCATTAATTCATTCATGTTTATTTCATGTACAAGAAGCTTTTATTTCAATGAACAAACAAAAATAGACCGAGATAATATGAAAAAAAACACAACATCGTCCATCGAATTGATAATAATAATAATGATAATAATAATAATTTAGAAATGAAATATTTAAATTCATGTAAATTATAGAATAGAAAAAAGGATACAAAATAATGTGAATTAAAATGATTTTCAATCTGTATCAATAAATTTGTTTTCATTACAAACTTATCATTGAAATCATGTTAGACGACCATATAAAACTTATTAGCATTGGACGATTGTAATGTCCTATTATGGGACTCAGTATTAGTGCGCATCAACGACCGCTGTTCATGGGAATTGAAACTAGGACCTTCAGTCTCGCGCGAACGCATGACCTTTAGACCATTGGGATGCCATCCAAAGGTGTCAATCTTTAACTTTGATCAGACCATGATATTGGTCAACCTTCATTCATTGTCTTCGCTGGGTAACTGCCTCACACTCGACAGAGGTGAACTACACTAGTAACGACTTCTCACTTGCCCTTAGAGAATTTTCCTACGAAGCTAGTCACAAGTTAGCACATTTGATGATATTCATTGTAGAGTTTTGGATGAAACAGCCGTTCAATGCTTCCAGTTTCCTAATTATGGTCTAACAATGATCGATTCATGATGAAAATAAACTTGCCATTGGATGTATTGAAAAAAAAATCAAATCGATACATTGATGTTTATTGATACAGAAGTAAAATAGAAGAAAGATATATATGTGAAGAAACTAAAAAGTGATAATAGCTCAATAATACATTTACTTTTGTACAGATCAAAAGTTTCTAGGTATAAACTAATTGATTGAAGTCTGTATGATAAATTTGATGAGTGCTAGAAAATTGAATGCAACAGTTCAGAAATGATCACAATGGTTCGGGTAACTTCACTCGTTCGTCTTCCTTTAGATTGTGAATTTCACTATTGCTTTATATTTACATTTTCTATCTTTTTCATATCATTTTCTGAATGTTTAATCTTTCTCATGATCATGGTTATCACATCATTTTGATCGCTTTGTTATTGATCTTTACAAAGTCATCTTGTCATTTGAATATAGGCACATTCAATATATATACCAGTCACTGTATGTTGATTTCAATTGATGATTATTTCATCTAGAACAGTTTCAGTGACAAATAAATGGTTATCATCACTGATTGAAACGAAATCTATGCTTATTACTTGTTAGTGAATAAATCTAAATTAAATTAAATTCTTTTATTATTTTATTGTATAATACATAATAGAATATATGAAAATAACAGTTTTTTTACCTTTGAGCTCGATGATTTAAATACTCATTTTATTTAAAATTCACTGATAACATAAATAGGATGTCTAAATAGGAGAATATGTCTAACTCAATTTGAACTCGATTTCGGTTAATTTTGTGTATAACGTGATTCGATTCCATTGTATATCGAAATATGAAGTAGTTTCAGTGAAGATGTAATTTAAACAAATTAAGTGAGTTAATTATACTTAGAATGTATAGAGGTGGTAAAAAAATAAGACGTATGGACTGTGTATGATATTGTTTTGGTGTAATGAATGATCATCATTAGACAACATGGACTAACAATAACAACCTGCTTTGTGAGATAATTAAAAAAAAATAACCCAGATTACAGCTGAAGAATAAATTAGGGAAAAGCACAGGAGGTGAATGAAACACAAAACTAAAGAAAGAAGCCAAATGAATAACGAGACAAACATTAAGTTCAGACCATCAATGCCAAATGAAAAGAGATCGGCATGAAAATAATTTTTAGTTCATAGACAAAACATATAAACAATCTTCAAGGAACTTGTGCTCACTGTTGGATTTGCAACATGCATCACTGTTTTTCTCAATGTGAAACATGAAGACTAAACTAATCAGTCAATTACTGATCAATCTTTGCAACTGAAATCATGACATGGATTGATCATTATCCATGAATCAACATCTCATATTTACATAGTCGTTATTGTAACATAATCAACAAATTGTTATTCAGTTGATAAAGAATAAAATTACTAGTTGATATTGCATCAATCGAAAAGGAACATTTCATTTATATATCTGACTTATTCAAAACAATGAATATGTCGCATTCAGATGCACACATTGTACTGTTTCCACTTTTTTTTCAGCAATTTGAATGCTTCTAGTGATTTTCCATATTTTATAAGTATTCTATTAATTTATTAAATATTTTTTGTGTGATACATTAAAAACTGAAAATTATGAACCAGTCAATGTCAGGCCATAATTAAGAAGAAAATTGGAAGTATTCAGCGGCCGTTTCGTCCAACTATGAGACTTATCAGCAGTGCACATCCATGACTCACGCTACCAGGAATTGAACACAGGATCTTCGATATCGTGTGGCTGTTCAGTGCTTCGAGGTTTCTAATTATGGTCTAGCAATGATCGACTCATCGATCCCAATGTAATTTAAAATAATTGAATTCTTGAATTTTATTTATTTACTCAATTTTATGATGAAATTCATCAAGATTTCATCCAATGTAAACTGTTGCATTCACACTGACATTGAACATTGAAAGGAATAATAATGTTTTTAAATTTTTATTTCTTTTACATATCAAATTGTTTGAAATTTAGTGTTTTTTTTAAAAACAAAAGTTTTTAATATCTCATAAATCATTTCTTTGATTTAGCTCCTTCAGATGCTCCAAGTAACTTTCGTGTAGTTGGCGGTAATCAAACCTCAGTGCAGTTAGCTTGGGAACCACCGAGATTATTATATCGTAATGGTATTATAACAAAATATCAAGTTCGATGTTATATTGTTGGCGAAGAAGAAAATCCTGATGAATTGAAAACGCTTACAGAACAAACATTAAAACTAATCAATTTACCAACTGCAACACATGCTTGTTTAGTACGTGCATGGACTAAAGCTGGTCCAGGACCATGGAGTGATCGTATTCAAATTATTATAAATCAGAAAGGTAGGTCGGTCATATTGATAATAAAAAAATAAATTATAGAGATTGTCAAACTTGTTTCTTGTTATCTGTAATAAGTTTTGATCAATGATTATGTTTACCAACATTTTAGACTAATATGATATTACCATCATGATAGTGAATAGCATTATGTTGAAAATTTCTGTCAAGTTGTTAGTTTTGGTAAAAATTCTTTTTTTTTCTAGTCAAATCTAATTGTTTTTACATCTTGTCTTGTTTGTGTTTTTTGATGAAGCATGATACAATCTGCTTAAAAGTGTATTGAACATAGAAATCAGATGACAAAAATTGAATTGAATATTATTAACAAATGGAACGACATAATAAATGTTTCGAGTATTATGAAATACAAATACAAAGTTACCAGAATAAGTTCTCAATTGATACAATGAACACAGATTGGATATAATCTTAAAACTAGAAATATAGAACCAGATAGTAAGGTATAGAATAGTTTGTTTAACATAAGCACATACCGTGAGCTTCAGAATAAAAATTAATCACAGAAATAATATCACTAGCTGAATGTCCGATTGACTTCATTTACTAGTCACAAATCAGTTTCTAGGAGAGAGAGGGAGAGAGAGACAGTATTCATGAAGAATTTCAAAGCTATGCATAACACGATCATACAGCTTACGATATTTTATTCAAACTGTTTCATACATAATAAATTATTAGTTGTACATTTTTCAATTAATTTATGTTTCAATTTTGTAGTTGGAACTTGATTTATATTTTATCATGTCTGTCGTAACATTGACTTTTCTACATTACATAGAAGCACACATTATCTCTATCAGTAACAACAATATTTTAATATATATATATGTAAATGTATATGTATACGTAGATGTATGTAGATGCATATCAACTAATTCGTATATAACTACTAATTTATTGAAAAAAAATAATAATTTAATGTCAAATAAATTATTACAAATTGAAAATAATTACATTTTCTATTTTCATTTTCTTTAATTATAACGGTAATAATAATAATTATTATTATTGAATTTAAATCATTAGAACCAATTACTGATGAATCATTTAAACAAAAATAAAATAGAATAATGATTTATTGAAATGAAAAGTGAAATAGGAATATTGAATAAAAATATAAAAAAAAATCTCTATGATCTCAAGTATGAATAAAAGTAAAAACAGAGAGAATGGTCATCGCCTGTTTTAATTTTATGAAATTTTAAATCTACCAACGATTGTTTATCATGAAATTGAATTTGACTATTCTTTTGAAAGTGCTCAGTGAAAGTATATTATGCAAATGAGTCAATCAAGATCAAGATTGTGATTTTATTTAGTTTTTTGTGCTAAATTCAAATATCACGTATAACAAACAGCTTCAGCCCCATACAATAGAACATTTGTATTGAAAATTTTGAGTTGAGTGTAGATTGATAGTTGTTTTGAATTCTAGATGTTCGTAAATTATAGAAATAGCGCCATTATTTTGCTAATCCATATCTTTACGCCTGCATCAATGGGGCTGCCCAGATATCTAAACGTTTGTACATCTTCCGATGTTTCACCGTCAAGTATGATTTGATTGGTGCATTTTGTGTTATATTAAAGGATTTTTCCTTTCCCTTTGTGTATGTTGAGAACTACTGCCACTAGGCTGCTGCATGCACGATCTCGCAGTTCAATCCATCATAAGACTTCTGTATGATGTTGACTATCTTCTCAGGAACGCCATAGTGTCAAAGAAGCCACAATAATGTTGTCCTGTCCACGCTGTCGAACGATTTCTCGTTGTCAAGTAACTTGAAGTAGAGTGGTGAATTCCATTCAATTGACTGTTCCACTGTGACTCATCGTTTTGGGATTTAGTTAGCGAATGATCGACCCCAACGGTATCCAACCTGTTGATTTTGATGTCAGGTTACTATGGGGTCTTCATTTGGTTTAACATTTTGTTGAAGACTTTTGCTGGCTAAGTAGCGGCTGGAATCCTTTCGCTATGTTTTTAAGTCTATTTCTGAATAAGAAGTCAGGTCCAAAAGTACTATGATCATTTGATGAAAACACAGATTAGTTATTTGGTGTATACCAAGTCTCAAGCAATCCATCTGCAGTTGTTGTTTGTTTTGAAATCCAAACTAGCTATAGGAGGCTTTCTTGTACTTCTTTTCATATCTTCAATGTATTCTGGACACTCGTGGAACCGTTGTTTTCGGTTACCAACTTCTAGGCGACGCTCTGCTACATAAACATTTTTGTGAGTAGTGTCCACCATACCTATACTACACGCTATCAATTGTTCCAAGACCATTTTTCACTTATAAATAATTTTTATAACATTTTGTTAGGCCCTCCTAGGTCAGTTTTATGGTTTTATACAGTTTTTAACTGTCGTGACATACTAGATTTTAAACAAAATTTAAATAGTATTGTCTTGTTTGAATTCAAGTGATATTTTTGATGTCACACTATCTTTTACTAGATAAACTGATTGATATTAGGGCCATCAGATCCCCAGGACCCACATGCTAAAGGGCCTAATTTTGGATTTTATTTATTGACTGATCAGTTGACCAGGAAAATCCTTGACTGTTATTATTTGATATATTATTTTAGTACGCTGTTTTTGTGACTCTCCCAAGAGCGTTTCTAGCATGTATAAATAAACTCGATTCGTGTGCTTGAAAGACCTTATATTTTCTGAGTGCTTAAAGAATTCACTTTCTACGCCATATCAAGACTTGTTCATCTACTTAGCGGGGCCTTGAGACGCTCGTATTAGAGTAGCCTGTCGTGTCTGTAGATCATTTGTCCCGCTGTCGTTTACCGACTAAGATGAACTCGTAATAGTTCGAGCATATCAATTGACGTGCATATTAATTTACTTTACCATAAAATATTCAAAAAGGTTGGTTATGATAATCATTTCATATTAAAAGATATATGTTAATAGTAGTAGTAGTAGTAGTAGTAGTAGTAGTAGTAGTAGTAGTAGTAGTAGTATACACAAACCAATTTGAAATTATTTTCACTTTAAAACAAGCGTTTTAAATAAGTTCTTTCGTATTGGTCCTTTGAATCTTCCTATTGATGTTGACAACCGCCAATAATCAGTCTCTTTTATCGTGTATGCATCTTGTAGGGACAACCTTGTTATTTCTAATAATTCACGGACGGATGGTGACTAGAATTAAAATCCATGATACGACTTTTGTCCAGTTAGGGACTTGTCAGCTGAATATATCTGGATCCGCGTCGATTTTTTAAAGAACGGTGTTATTATCTACCTCTGATCGACTTAAGTATTTTACGCGACTTCACGCATTAACTTTGGTAGTTACTGTCTCCACACGACAGGGTTGAACTTCACTAGCCTTGGCTTCTCATTAGAATTCCGAGAATTTCCTCACTAACCTAGTCATTAGTGAGCGCATTCTATGATTCTTTATTATATAATTATTGGAATGGTTGTTTAACGCTGAAGTCGTGAATCAATGATACCAGGGCGAAACGGCCATCCAGTGCTTACAGCTTTCTAATGGTAGTCAAACAATGATTTATTCATGATTTCAAATTTGAAATTGAACATATCATAGTTTTCACAAGTTTATAATTTTCATCAGAACATATAAATATTCCAATCAAATATCAATTGTCAAATTGACAAATAAATTGAATATTCCTTTTTGTTTACATGTTTCACTTAATTTATAATTTTCGGTAGATAAATGTAACTATTGTTCAATAGATTTAGAACTGTAGGATTGTTTGTTGTATTTTGATCACGCTTAATTAATTCCTTCTATTCTATGTGATTCCATAGGTAATGAACACTCATAACCCTTTGATAATTATTTCTATTGAATGATTCTATGTTGGGTAGTAAAACAACATTATCGATTCAACATTATCAATAGTTTTAAAATGTAAAGAATAAAAATTAAAAATTTGTTTATATACATAGAAAAGTAACCCCAATTAATAATAGACATAAATTTGAAATGGAAGTAAATTAATCATGATGTGTTGATTATTGAATGACGGTGTTTTGATTACAAAATGAAAACAAAACAGTATGATGAAATTGTTCAATAATCAAGTCCATGAAACTATGATAATTGTTTATCTAAGAAGATTCTCTTCTTTTTTTGAAAATTCATCTCATATTTGTCAAGTTTATAACTTTTAGTAAATAGATTTCATTTTCGTCAATTCAAGGTAATAATGTCCTCTATCCATTTATGTGGGTGTTTGTGTGTGGATATAATACTGTCCAGTGATTCTTAGTTTTTAATAGTCAACCATTCAATGTATATGGGACATGATCAGACTGGTTTATTCATGTCGAGTAATTATGAGGTATCACCGGTGGATGATGGTTGACCTATGTCGCAAACTAACTGAGAATAAAAATGCATATCCATTGGATATCGACAAAGAGATCCGAAGCTTAAGTCCTCACACCTTAGCTACAATGTCCTGGATTGCATTCTTGATGCGATCATAGATAGGCACTGATGATGAGCCTGAACTCTGACGAACAAAACATTTGTTCAGTTTATCCTTAATTTTAGTGGTTACCATTGATTGCAATCAAAGAACGTAGATTTAAATAAGTTTGTAATGTCTACTAATTCCTTGAATTTTTTTTACCTTTTTTTAGGTCCGTCACCACCGTTCAATATTCAAGTTTATTGGAAAACGCAACAAGTTTTAACAGTCAAATGGACACTACCAGAAGACAAAGCAAACATAGCCTATTTAATTATTCATTATGCAAAACAAACTAATCCAAATTTATGGCATAAATATTTTGTAAAAGATTTGAAGACAACAGACGATTTGGTAAATTTCAAATTTGAGGCAATAAATTTTAAACAATACTATAACTTACAACCATTGACTAAATTCATGTCACATAAACACCAATCAGAATTAGTTTCAGAGCTAATAACCTTGAATCAACTGATAGAATCTTATTGGCTCACTATTATCTCTGCTCTGCCGTTGAGTTTTAGGAATCATAACTAGCATCTACTTTATATATTTATATTTTGCATTTTATAAACAATCAGAAAATGCCACATCATATCATAAAAATAAAAAAAAAAATAGTTAGTTGTAGCTGTGAGTAGGGAAAGACTGTCAGTAATAGAGGTTAAGTGTTCGCGTAAGACCGAAGATCCTAAGTTCGATTCCTACGGTAGGCAGTCATGGAAGTGCACTGCTAATGAATCTCATAGGAAACGGTTGTCCAGTGCTTTCAGGTTTATAATGATGATCTAACAGTAATCGATTAAAGACTCTAAAAATAACAAATTAAGAATGATAAGTTGCATAACGATAAAGAAAGTTTTTTTATAAAAAGAATACAAATATGGGATAATCTATGCGTAGTAAATTAATTATACAGCAAAACTATATGTATCGATAATAATAATAATAATCCATAAATCAATCCAGCGCTTTCACGTTTGTTTCTAATGGTGATCTAACATTGATCGATTCATGCTTTCAATAAAAGTCATCAATCTCTACAATCTCGTAATGACATTTGTGATGTGCTCACTATTTATTAGCTTCGTGAGAGAATCCTCGGAGTTCCAGTGAGAAATCTTGATCACTTGAGTTCAACCCTGACGGATATGAGGTAATTACTCACTAAACACAATTGTGGAGGTTGTGTAATGCAGTGGATTGATTGAAGTTGGACACGGACACTGTTGTCTGCCAGTTCAGTAATCTAAAGGTTAGGTGTTCATGCGCGAGACTGAAGGTCCTGCGATCGTTCCCCGCATGTGGGGTCGTGGATGTGTATTGATAATGAGAATCATGGTATTATTTGATCGCCGTCCGGAGCTTCTAGGCTCTTTTTATTGCTGGTTTAACACTGATCGATTGACTTCAATGAAAAAATGATCATGGTCATGTCTACCAGTTCATTGATTTGAATCAAATAACTGCAAGCCGTCATGACTTATCACATTCGTAACTCTTTAAAAATAACATGCTAATTAATGAGGCTGGTCCAAATCCTGCAAAGACTATTTATTCTTACAATAATAGAGCTTTGACTTATTGACATGTAATAACCAATGCAATAGTTATGTCGTTTAAAATATCTTATCAATAACCTTTAATCATTTACAATACTATTAAGTCACTTTGGCTAATGGTCAACACTACAGTTTGATCAATTAGAAATCGATCAGCTCTTATCAATGAACAAACATAACTAGTAGTTACTGTATTTACTTCTAACTAGAATGTCTTCAATGGACATATTACCTGAACATTTAATCAAAATTATTATGTAAGTAAGAAATACTGATTTAATTTTATGCTGAAAATTTCATATCAGACAAGTAGATATTTACTTTCACAGTACATTTCACTCACATACTTGATAAGATAGTTTTCAAATAAAAAATAAAATTGATTTTAATGTACAAAAATTTAAAGTAAAAAAAAATAAAAAGTAAAAAAAAGCACAAAATCAATCAGTTGCCTATTCTATTTAACGCTTTAAATCTAAATGAAATAAAACTGTGTTTATGATGAATAAAAGTGACGACAACAATTTCACTGCTTCACTTAATCCATCCATATATCTATCTGTTTGGGTGATTGAAAATTTCCTACAGTGAATTGATTCATTTATATTTTTCAACAATAATCAACAATTCTAATCTATTGGATTATGTTAATTTAAACATGAAACTTTGTATTCATGACTAATTATTCACAAAATCCCATTCATGACGTCAATGAAACTAAATTTTCTCAATCTTATTACACAAAATAATATATAAGACAAGTTATTAAAGGCTACAAGTTCATTCTTCTTCTTCTTCAATGATGACGTATGGGATAATTGGGAAAAAGAAACTAACAAATAAACAAACAAATATCATGGTCATTTAATTTAAACAAAATTACACTAAGTACACAAAATATATCATCATCCTCATCATCATCGTAAATAATGTTGACAGTAACAAGAGAACATTTGATTTATAAAATATTTGTTTAAAACAAAATTAAAATTGACTATTTTGAAAATTTCAAATGTCAAACAGTGATTCATGATACAATGATGAATATCCTCTGAAATTAGTGTGTAGGAAAAAATCTTTTTAAAATTGTATGACGTATTAAAACGTGTTTAAAATTTTTTTGTTTGGTCAATGAACCTATAAATATTCTAGATTCATTAGGTAGAGAATGCATTAAATAAAATTTTTCAGAAATCTAAATCAGTCAGAATAAATAAAACTTAATTATTGACTTATTGAAGTTAAATTAATACTAATATTTCATAGTAAGTATGATTCTATCAGTTTTTAACTAATTAAAAAAATATATATATATATCTTCAGTTCCTACTAAAGGCAAGTCATGGACCGAAACGTTCACTAAAATCTTTTCATAAAATAAGATTTTATGAAAAGATTTGAATCTCATGCAAAGCATCAATCCTTTCAAGAGTATAAAAAAGCCGTGTCAACCATTCCCAACTAACAGGAATCCCTAGGCAAGGTAGGGTATCCTGACCACCACTATTTAAAATTGGAATGAATGGAAACTTGTTAGCATAGGATTCTGTAGATTTTCGACTGTTTTTTTTGAAATCACAGAGCAATTGAAGTTAGATAAACACTGAAAACTTGAAAGAACTGTACGGTCATTTCGCCCTGGTATGTAACGGTGAGTCAAATCAATTAACCATAACTAGGATTATACATTTTTGGCAAAAAGTTGTATAAACTCTAAAATTGAACTGTCATATACCTCTTACCCATACAGACTAGAAGAAATGTTTAATAATTATTATATTTTATATTATTTCAAAATGTTATCATGGACAGTAGTCAATGGGTTGTTTTTCAAATGTAACAAACTGTTTTCAATTATCACCGTAATTAATTTTATTTCAGTATCCTTTATCAGTTATGTCGTTATGCATTTATTGTATAATGCAACAATGATTACCATTAGACAATTCATCCTTTATCAAATTGAAATATTTCCAGTTAATTAATCACTAAGTGATAATCTATATGATATGTGTCAACGCCATTAAAAAACTGGTCAATTTCTAGTGATTCATATTGAGTAATTAGAAATGGAAAAGTATTCATCAACAATTAATTATCAGAAAGCAGCAATGATAATTAATTGTTGATGACAACATCAAAGCATTTCACAAATAAATTTCATCATTATTTCCATTATCCATAAACTCATACACATGATTCCATTGTTCATCATGAAGAGAGTATACACAATGATTTGCATTTGATTCTTTATGTCCATTGTTTACAATCTGTAATATTTGAATAATCATTCATACTAATTATATTTAAATGATTTATATGAAATAAATTTTTAGTTGGTAGTTATCATGACGAGACATCAGTATGGTATAGTAAAAGTGTAAATGATTTGAATAGTTTACATAAAACATTGTAAATATTTATTTTATACAGAAGAATATTCAACAACATTGATAATAACAAAAATTTGTTTTCTCAATTTATTACGTCATTACGTCATTTTATTTTGACTGTCTTGTGGATTAGTCATCTTATTTCAACTAATTGCACTTTATTCATATTCTTCTTACTTATTACCGACGTATATTCAGTTAATATCACCACTTTTTTTCTAACAGTGTTGCTCATACTCTTAGAATGATCAAAGTTAGACATTTACACCACTGGATACCGAAACAGTGGTGCGCGCGAAACCTGAGATTCTGGGTTCAAATCCTATTAGTGGTGATCTGGTGATATGCATTACTAAAGAAAAAGTCTCATATTAGGACTTGACAGTCAACCAATGCTTTCAGGTTTCTTTCTATTGGTGGTCTAATGATGACTGATTCATGATTTCATTGATCTACAACAATTTCAATCATTCTATAATGATGAATCAATTCAAGTTATTCTATTTTAAAATTTTATTCTTACTCTCTTCCTAATCAGTATCTTTTTTTAGGAAATAAAAAAAGAAGATTCTATTTTATTTAATTGTTCATTGAATAATTTTCATTTTTATTGGTTTTTGTTATTTTTTCTTAAATTTTAAACTACAGATTAATTTAAATTCCAATGATGAATACTTGATTCGTTTAAGTTCAGTTGATTTAAATGGAAATGAAGGTGATTTATCAGATATTATTAATACAAATTCACATCAACATTTAACACTAGTTAATAATAATAATAATAATCATAATGATAACCACAATATGAATAATAAACGTAATCAACATTTTATATTTATGGATATACCAGATCAACCAGAAAAATTCACTGTACAAAATTTTAAATGTGTACATAAAACAATGAATTCAATCACTATTGAATGGTTACCTCCGATACATTTAGCTAATCTAATTGAATATCAAGTAGGTGGTGTTTTCTATTTTACGTAAATAATAATAATAATAATAAAAACTGTGATCTATATTAATATTCATTTATTATATTGAACATTGAATATTTTAATTTGTACAAATTTGTAACAAATTATTTTACACTCAAAATTATAAAAGGAATCATTGTTAGATCACTATTAGAAATCTGGAAGCATCAGACAGTCATTTCATCCTGTAATGGGACTCATCAACAGTGACAACTGTTGACAATCTCCATAATACTATAATGAAAAAAGGTTTATTTTTGTCGACAAAATTAAAATAGACTAGTTAATTTTTTTTATTACGAACTATTTTTAATCAAAATATTATTAATTAATTAAAAAACTATTGAAATACCCTGGGTAAATGATTCATTTACATTGCAAACTTGTTATCTTACATACAATGTAACATAGAATTTTCATTCTACATGTTAAGAGTGATAATTCTAAAATTGTAGGTTCATATAGCATTTTGCCCATAGCTTTCGATTATTATAATTCTAATGGTAATGTTTCTTGTCAGAAATTATCATGAGTTGGATGTGTATTTGTAAAATCTCTCTTATTAAATAAGCTTTCTACTTAAAATGTTTACAATAAATTGAGAATTTTATTACAGGAAGAATCAAATTATACAATCATACTGCTTTGTATATATTTATTTTCAAATGTTTATCTGAGGGGGCGAGAAACAATTATCATTGGATTTATACATCCAATAAATTCAGGAAATTAAACAACATATCTATAAAGCATGATTGATAATTGGCATTTACAGTTTTACATGTATTGCTGCTGATAACTTTTCAATCGAATTTATGCTACTAAACTGAACGAATAATATTACCGTTGTTGAGTTTCACCGAAAACATGGATCGATCAATGAACTTAGAGCAATAGATGACAGTTTCGTTCTAGTATGATACTCATTAGTAGTGCGTATCGGCATTCTGGAATCGCATCTATGATCTTCAAGTCTGACGCACTAACTTTCGACCAATGAGTCGGCATCCGACGATGCGAATGTTGATGAAGCCTCGCAATGATGGGATGATTGACTTACTTACTTACTTACGCCTGTCACCCCCAATGGAGCATAGGCCACCGACCATTGTTCTCCAACCTACTTTATCCTGGGTTTCCCTTTACAATTCTGTCCAATTTCCGTTCATTCTTCTCATATCTGCCAACACTTCTCGGCGTAACGTCTCTTCGCCTTCCTCTTTTCCTTCGACCTTGAGGGCCCCAAGTGAGGGCTTGTTTCGTGACGTCGTTTAGTGCTTTCCTCATCATGTGTCCTATCCACTCCCAACGCTTCTTCCTGATTTCTTCCTCGTCTGGAATCTGGTTTGTTCCCTACCACAGTAAGTTGTCGCTGATACTGTCTGGCCAATGGATATGAAGTATTTTGCGTAGACCATTGTTAATGAACACTTGTGTCTTCTGAATGATGGTGTTGAAGATGTTAGATCCCCAGAACTCGCTTAATGAATGTCTTTTTTTGGATTTTATTCAGGTGCTGATCAGTTGGTCTTGAGATTTCATTTCCCACCAGGAAAATCTATGGCTGTGATGAGCATCTGTGTATTTTAGTGTGCTATTTTTGTGACTCTCCCAAGGACGTTTCTATGATGTATAAATAAACTCGATTTGTGTGCTTGAGATCATTTCGCTTGCTGGGTGTTTGTAGAATACACTTTCTACGCTATATCAAGGATTTTCGTTACAACCTTTTAGTCAACGGATCAGAGTAGCCTACCCGGACACTGGTTAGTTGTCTCGTTTTAGTTTATCGACTAAGTTGAACCCGTAATAGTTTCAAGCATAGCAAGTGACGACCTTAACAGATGGCTTTCGAAGTTCTCCAAGTTTCCGCTCCAGACAGTAGTACTGTCTTGACATTTGTATTGAGAATTCTGATTTTGGTGTTGTTTAACAGTTGTGTGAAGTTGTAGATGTTAATTAACTTTAGAATTTCAGTCATTCCTTTGCCGATCCGCGCCCTCACATCTGCATCGGATCCATCTTGATTGTCAATGATGCTGCACAGATATGTAAAAGTTGTACCGTCCTCCAAGGCATATCCATCAAGATTAATTTGATTTGTGCATGTTGCGCATGTTTCGAAGAATCTTGCTTTTCTCTTTATGTATGTTTAGACCTACTGCTGCTGAGGTTGCTGCCACACTGGTCGTCTTCTCTTGCATTTGTTGTTGTGTGTCCGATAGAAGATTCAGGTCATCTTCAAAGTCTAGATCGTCCAGCTGTGGCCTAGTTGTCCACGGTATCCCGTGCTTCCCTCCAGATATTGACGTTTTCATAATCCAGTCGATCACCAGGAGATAGAGTACGAGTGAGAGTAATCAAACTTTTCTGACACCGGTTTTCACTTTGAACCAATCTGTGAAATGTACTCCATGCCCGATCTTGCAGTTCGATCTGCCATAAGAATTGTGTATGATGTTAACTATCGTCACAGGCGTGCCGTAGCGTTGAAGAAGCCTCCATAGTGTTGTCCTGTCCACACAACCAAATACTTTCTCGTAGTCAATGAAGTTGATGTAAAGTGGTGAGATCCACATAATTGATTGTTCCACAATGATCCGTAGTGTGTCAGTTTGATCAGTACACGATCGATCGTTATTGGACGCAGGCTGTTGATCTGGAAGTTGGACGTCTACTGAATCTTTCATTCGATTTAACAACAATCTATTGAAGAATTTGTCTAGTATTTAGTGTTTTTTTTCTTCCCTTTTTATTAGTTACATTTATCTGGACGAAGTGAATTTATCACAAGTAATGGTGTACTCAAATCAATTCATTTAGATGAAATTCAATTACATAAAAATATTCATGAACAAATTGATACAAATGGACAAGAATTATTATCATTAAATTGGCCATTAATGAATATGATGAATAGTATCACAGATCTAGACAATTATCATTATCATTCACCACAACAAACACATAAAATGCAAATATCAAATTTAAAACCAAATAGTCAATATAAAATAACTATTCGTCCAATTTATCGTGCACTTATTACTGAAGGTAATTTAGGCACAAAAGACGGTATACCAATCACTATTCTATGTCATACTGAATGGAGTGGTAAGTAATTTTTTTGTTTTTGTAATTTGAATGTATGTTAATAGGATTACATAAGTTTCTTTTACTTACTTCAATGATTCGCATTTAATTCATGTGATTGTCGTTTTATTTCATCAATAAAATATATTTAACTTTTCTACTTATTCTGCTACACGATTAAACCTTATTTACATAAATAATCTCGGGAAATAGAGAATTTGTAAACGTGCTTCATTGCTGAATTCCAACTATTGCATCATTCATGTTCTACTCAGACTTAGAAAGATTACACTCTTACACTAGATAATGAAATTCTATTACAAGAGTTAGACTTGTATTTATTTATAAGTGACTCATTGGAAAACATCGCTGAAGTTGTTTCTTGTTATCTCGAATTCCGTTCAGTTGATTGTTGTCCAAACGAAACTACTTTTCTAAGGTTTTATCAACTTACAGTCCCATAACTAAAACGATTAAGAAGGGAAAAAGAATGGATGTATGAAGAGAAAAACTATTGAAGTTTGGAAGCTTAACTAGTCTTATAAACCAAGAAATTGAAAAATCTGAATTCACTGTTCACCCAGAACCTTATTTCTTGTAAAAACTAGAAAAATGTGGCAACCTTTAAACAGCTTAAAAATCAACATTAGAAACTTCAAAACACTGATGGGCGTTTCATCCTAGTATGAGACTCATCTGCAGTTCGCATACACCACTCTTACCACTCACAAGATTCAAATCTAGGACCTTCTACCTCGCGCGTGAAAGCTTAACCTGTAGACCACTGAGCTGGAACACAACACTGTAATGTCTAACTGTAATCACTCCGTCATATTGTGCAACCTCACACATTGTTTTTAATCGATACTGTCTACACCCCACAAAGTTGAGAAGCTGTGACCGGTTGCAATAAAATAGATGTGCTTCAGTTTCTTAATAGCCACTGGTAGCTTCTGTGAGCCAAAACAACATGAAATATTCTGGATAATTCTATTTATCTCATTATAAATACATTCACATAGGCATTTGACTGTCTTGGATATTATCATTAAGAAAAGAAAAATAGTATTGAAATATTGCACAAAACAACCAACCAACATTTAACAGAATGTTTATTTTAAAGCAATTAACTAGCGCATACAAGGTGTACATATCATATCATATCATATCATATCATATATATGTATATATATATTCCCACAATTTTTTTTAAAATTATCCGTTTTATCGTACTGTATTATTAAATTGACAAAATGTATTAAATGATTCATCGTAGATTGAATAAACAAATTGATTACAGAATAACTATCTTAGGAAAATACCCAGTTTAATCTTTTTCAATTACAAATTTATATTGATAGTTTAAATCATTTGCTGAGTGAAGCTAATCCAACATTGAAAACCTGAGAGAGTTAGATGGACAGCTGTTTGATGACAGGGAATCCAGGAAACTAACCTATGGCTTTCGGTCTTATCGGCTTATGTTTAGCGTACAGAATATTGTGTTGACATCCACTCGCATACATACATGTCTAAACCAGTATCATGTAACAAGTACAAAATACCAATTCAGAATTACACTTTGAGTTAGTTTTAAATTCTTATTGATACACAACTTGATCGCTTCTTTTTTTTCCTATCCTACCTCTTGATCTAGAAGTCTGTGGCCAGCCTCCACAAAATTTCATTGTATATTTCATGTAGACATAGCTTATATACCAAACTTAACACCGGGGATCATATCACACCGTAAAATCAGAAATTACATTGATACATAAGTAAACCGAAAGTAGCTGTGAAGACGATAAACTGACTAAAGATTAGAGGATAGTAAATCATACAAAATTAGTGAATAGGTTAACCAGGTGTTTAATGACAAAAGGAATATAAATATGTGATAATCTAGTTATTTGATAATTTTAAAATGAGAATAATAATAGTAATAATAATAATCCATAATTTAGTCCCAGAAGATATCATTTCTCTAATATTCCTTGGGATGTAGCACATTGTTTGTAGGAGTTAATCGTCTGACAATCGACAGGTTTTGATATAATCCCAATTATTATTTCCTTGATAGAATAAACCCAACATCACATTCTAAAAAATTATAAGATACATAAAATGGTCATTTTGAATGCGTAATAAATCTATTTCTAAGAAGTAATTAGTGATGTCAGTTATTCGGATGTGGTTGAACTGAAGTTATAGTCCTGGGTCCTGTGCTAGTTGGTATTCGTCAGCTAGAATATTTGCCTAGAATATTGTGGAAACTAATGTTTTATGACGAATTCAAACTCGAATCACCGAATTTTAGTCTGAAATGTTATAACTACTTTATCCAGGCGTCTAGTAATGAAACTAAGAGATGTATTACTTCACTGTTCCAAGTTATAGTTTTAATCTGGACGGGAATAATTTATAATGAACTAATATCCATTACTGTATTCGAATCATAGATAAAATTTTGGTTACAAAAGTTTACATTTTAAGTAGAGGCTAATGAATTATATTAACGATTTGAGAGTCGATAATATGATTTAATTGTTAGTATGCTCTACAAGGTACAATGGGATTAAAACTGATGACACCAATATTAAAACTGGTAGCTCAGTTGAAGTATACTTTATTTATTAAGCCACTTCTTCACTATAGACATTTGATTCAATTGTTATTTATTTCTATTTCGAAATTTGATTGAGATAAAAGTGTTGTTGCTCGGGTAAGTCTATAGGGACCCAGGAAACTTTTGGAAGCATTTTATGCAATTAGTGTTGAAAATTACTAACACAGAAGCATTCAGAAAATTCAGAAACACGTGCTATGATTTTGATTGGATATTTACTTATGCCACTACTATATTTTGGTATGGTTTTGGAAACTTTCAGAAGCCTAAAGTCATATTCTAATTTATAAATACCATCGTATTGCTATACATAAACTAACCTTAGAGTAAAGAATTCTTTTCGTACTTCGCGTCTTTTCAATTATGTTCAACCTAACGTGTAGATTTAGCCTGAGGTTAAAAGAAGCAGCTAGGAAATCTAATCAAACACTCACCAAGATGACTTATGAGATACAAACTTCATGTTGGGACTTGTTAAAAATATTTATGAATCACAAAACAACTGAGAAACAGCCATTGAATTACCTCTGATTAAATCCGACGATAACTTAGATAAGTTTACATCTCAAGAGTTATTTAGTTTGACCAAAATTCTCCCGAAATTTATTTAGCTATTTACCACTAGAGTATTCATAATTAGTCTGAAAACTACATCAAGCGTTCCACAGTGTATGATGACTGATAAGTTAGTATTTTCATACTGTATTATATGAAATGATTTTCAAATGTTTGCTCATTACACTTCTTCGTTTCTTTCCTAGCACCAGATTACATAAAACCACCAGAATTACTTGCAATTTATGCAGGTCCATCAGATCCAGAAGGTCCAACTTCAATAATCGAAGTAAAATTATATCGTGTATCTGAAGAAAATGGTCCTATACATAATTATTATGTCATTATATCACCAGAATTAAACACGGTAACATCAAATCAAAATGTCCCATTGAAATCATCAAACTCCCTAATTATTGATGCATCTCAATATGATCTGAGAACTTTGTCACAAAACAATGATTTACCTAGCTATCAAGCACCTTATTTAGCATTGGCACGACATACCATAGATTTGTTTGAACCGAATCATGGAACTGCAATCATTATATTAGGTAGTGAAGAAATCGATAATTTTATTCTGGAAAATCAATACTACTTACATTCTACCACCAGTGGAAATCAAACAAATGATAGAAGCATAAAAAAGACTACTGATCTCAGGTCTTATTTTCCTGATGATCATTCACATATTTACGAAAGTGATAGTCATACCAATAAAATTAATGAAAACAAACCGTACTACTATAATGTTAATAGTAATATGTTTACGAAAGTTATACAAACGAATAATAAACGTCTTTTTCAATCTACTATATATCGTTTTGCCTTAAGAGCATGTTCACAGGTAAGCAATAATCGTATAAAAAATCTATTTCATGCATAACTAATTTCGTCACTTCATGTGATTACCACACTGAATGATTGCTTTTATTTTTCTAAATAGAGTTGTGTAAATGAGAAAAGTTGACGAAGATTTTTGTTATGACATAGAAATCAATGAGGTTTAAATTCCTCCTTATTTTTCTGTTAGGATTTTTTAGAGGTCATACGATTTTCGTTGAACATTTTTGACTCAGGAGTTGTTAAGATTGGTGAGTTTCATTGAAACGATGATTTGTTCAATGTTAGAAAGAAACCTGGAAGCACTGAACGATCGTTAAGTGCTAATATGAAACTAATCAGCAGTGCACATCCAGAACTTTCGCTTGCAGGAACTGAACAAAGGACCCTCGTTTTCACGTGCAAACGCTTAATCTCTAGACCATTTCAGTCAGACAACTTTTGAAAACCATGAGGCATTAGATATTTGTTTTATTTCAGTATGCATCCCCTAGCAATCTTATTTCAATGAATCGATGAATCAGGAAATGTTTTAATCGTCGTTAGTCGGTGCTAGAAAGCTAATAAACAAGCAAATTAATTTAAAACAATTAGTCCCTTTTATAAATTTTGATAGAACAGTGAGAAGGCATAATTGATCTGAAAAATGTGATTCATTTGCGCTATTCAGATCCAACAATTCCGTCAAGACATTTTACATGAAGATTAATCAAAGGTGAATAAATGTTCAAATAGACTTAAGGTGATAATTGTACATGAAGGACAGAGAAAATTAACGCAATATAGAAAGAATAACGGAGGGTTGGATATTGATGGTTTTTTGTTTGCCACATACAAACTGATAAATGCAATGGGATGTGATGTAATCATTAGAGAGATATTTAGGCCTGTATGGGATCATGGGCTTAGTCTTCAATTGCAACCAGTTTAGCAGCGTAGTATGTTTTCTCTGTGGCTGCTTTTAGTCTCTGTTTTAAGATTAGACCATTTGATTCACCTCTAAGTGGTAAAGTGACATGAACATTTTTCTTTTCAGCTGAATGAAAACAGTCTTTTGTCTTATGTGATTTCTACACCTATTAAGGAATTTTAGCGGATATCCGTTTGAAATCAATGTTTCAGTCAATAATTTCGCATCGTCTTCGAATGTATCCGTGGTGCAAATTCTTTGTGCCCTATTGAAGAGGCATTTCACCAAGCATCGCTTGTGTTGCTGTGGACAAAAACTGATAAAATTTAATTACTGTCCAGTCTAAGTTGGCTTTCTATGAAACTGAATGCTTTATAGTTCCGTTTACCCTTCGACTAGACAATAAACCTAAAAAGGGCAACTGGTTATTACTTTCTGCTTCATCGGAGAGGACAATGTCGTTCTGAAGACTATTGCAATTACTAAGTAGCTGAGATACATTGAATTCTTTATCGAATTGAATTCTTTATATCCGAAATATCATCCATATGTCTCCTTTACAAAGTATCCTTGTTGATGGGCTCATTTCATAAATTTTCAACACAGGCTATATAAACATCACCTAAGAGAGGTTCCAAAGGACTACTACCCATAGAAACGCCATCAATTTGATGGCACTGTTCATCACCAAGCATGAAATGAACTTTTTCAATATATAATAAAAGTAGTTCTCTCAGAAGACGTAATTTACTTAATATATAGTCATAAAGAAAGTTCACAGTTTCAATTAGGCGTACATTGGTAAAAAGGGAGTTTTCATCAAATCACATTAGTCTAGAAATCATAGAGTCATCTGCTCATGAAAGATTCATTACAGTTGGTCAGCATTCTAGTTTATCAATTATTTTGGCTAAATATTAATGGACAGAGTTTTGCATTGAATGTGGTATTGTAGGCGAACGCCTAACCAGTGCTTCCAGGTTTCTAATGGTGATGGTCTAACATTGATCGATTCATAGTTTCAAAAATGTGTAACTTAACAATCTTCACAACCCCGTAATGCAAATGTCATTTGTATTATTATTATCATCGTGTACACTACCTACAATGAAGCTTATAATTAGTATGCAGTGGATATGTGGCAGAGTGTTGCTTTGAAGTTACACCTGAACAGAGAAGTGGATAACAGAAACGGATCTTATTGTTTTTGATAAATGGAAAACATGTAAAAGAAGTTTGCAAAGAATAAATTTATTTTGTAAATGGATGTTTTATGATAAGTTGTACACTTTTCCACTAGTCGATTGTGTTTCTTCCAGTTTGGTTCTCGTTCTTCTTTCATTATAGTACATTAACATGTTGATCGATTAGTATGAATTTGTGATTTTACACATTAATTAATATCAGACATTCATCATTGTAATAACAATTTAGATCTATATCAAATAGATAGTATGTTGACTAGTAATAGATTGTCTAATAAGGGATTAACTGTATTCTGATTTTAGTATGAGCAAAACAACTAATCATCAATTGACATTATCACTGATATATAAGTGATATATAAATGACTTCAATCTATATGGAACTATATTTTTTTCTCTGTCATATTTATCTAATCTAATCGACTATTCTGACAAAATGTGACAATTTCACTGTCTTAATTTATCGTAATTTCATTACAATTTGGGTGAACATTTCAAAAAAACAAACATTTTCACTATCTATCCTGTCAATTTATTTAGTGATGACAAAATTCATATTGACAAAAAATAAAAGTAATCAAATTACATTTTTGATGTTTTCCGTGTGAGATACATAAAAAAAACCACACAAACTGTTCCCGTTGGAGTTTATTTCTTTTTTTGATTTGTGGTATAGTTTCACATGTTATCTTTACCGTTTGAATTTCTTACTACCACCTCTACATATCTATCTATGTATCTATCTGCTTATCTATCTATGTGTATCTACATGCATGCAAATGTATGTATGTACACTTATGAAACGAAACGAAAAATAATATTCATCAGAATATACTTTAGTAAGATTTGTTATGTCTGAAAAATTTATTTCTTATATTGTTAAAGATGAAATAATTTCAAATAATTTCAATGATCTCTATGTCATCGTTTAACAACACACAAAAAATCAATAGTTCACATCATAAAACATGGGATTGAATGCGAGAGAGAGAGAAAGACATTTGTGTGTAACAACTACCTTTTTATTAACTAGTAATCAAATTGATGGGGACATTGGAGAATAAACTTTTTATTATTATTCTAAACAATAAATAAACTGTAGTTGATGATTGTATTTAGCACATTTTAAACAAAATTGATCATTGATAACTGTCTTTACAAAAAACATACTGGTTTCATTATTGGTTGTAGTTAGACATTAACACCGTTGGATGCTTGTTCCAATGGTCTGGACACCAAAGGTGCTGGGTTCGATTCCCGCACGCTGGGATTGTAAATGAGTACCGCTGAAGAGTTCCATACTAGGACGAAATGGCTATCCTGTGCTTCCAGGTTTCTTTCAAATAATGGTCGAACATTTCATTTAACAATTTGTTCATATACGCAATTTTATTATTGCCAAATGTCATTTTGCTGTTTACTGCTGATTGTTAGCTGAGTAGTAATTAATGTTATGTATGATATGGAACAGATGGAATGTAGCTACTAGTTCTGTTTTACTTGGAACTCATCAGCTCAATGTATTACCATCCCATAGTTGATTTTCACTATGAGATTCGGATCTAGTACATTTAATTCACAAAAAATTCAAATTGCGTTAACTGTTATACCCGTCGCTCAAGTTAGTAGATGTCATGAATCAATAGCTTAGCGGTTAGTGCCATAGTGTTTGAAGTAAACGGTACTGAACTTGGGTCTCGGAGTGAGCATCAACTCAGCTGGAGTCGACCACTCCAAAACAGGAAGGAAAGCATGTCCTTGATTCGGCTGTTAGTCACATTCCATCTACTCTTTGACAACTTGTTTCAGAATAGCTCTATTGAAATAATCTGCACAAGACATCAAAAAGTCAATCAAAACTGAATTGAATTTCAGTCAAAACTATGACCAATGCAGTAAACCAAATAATTAAAAAATTAAATTCAATGTGACACGTCAAATCATTTTTAGTTCTGATCGAATCGTATCAAACAGGATGCAATATGGCTACTAGTCTAAATGACTCAATATTGCGTTCATTATAGCGAGTTGCTAACTGGTTGCAGGTAATCTGTGTGATACTCGGCTTGACCTAGATTTTGAACCAGTTAGGTTCACCTAAAATCTCAATGGTACCAATTCCACCGGTGAAATTCCAACACTAAATTATGATGTGATTTCAAATGATTGTTGAAGGTAGCAGAGAGGAAACCATGTAGCCAGATTTCCTGCTATTTGACACTCATCAATACGGCATACCTATCATCTTGAAGGAACTGTTACTCACTGGAGGATTCAATCTTTTGTCACTCAACTTCCTGCTTTTGGACTATCGTACACTGCTGTGCATTCAACAAAAAGACCAAAAATTAACAGTAATTTTCATTTATGCAAATAATAACGAGGAGTTTTTGTTTACGTATGGTAATCACAACATTTGTTCATGTGTAATCTATACAACGCTTACATATTATAATGAAGTTTTAGTGCTGATACATCCAAGAAACATGTATGTATTATTTTTAAGAATTAGATGAATATTATATTGAGTTTCATATAGAAAAAAGTATATTTTCCGCAAAAGGCGTAGTTCTTTCATTCATTCAATGTACATGTGTGTTGCTTAGTAGTCGTCAACTAGTTACAAAGCCAAAATCAAAGATAATAATCTGTGAAGATATTGAATAAATCATCATCCATGTATAGTTAGTTAAACGAATCTTGCTTATTATTGATCAATGTTAAACTATCATCGAAAGCTTGAAATTACAGTGTATTTTACGGTAAATTATGATAATTTCGAAACGATGAATTTCATCACAGAGAAATGAATCATCAATTGACAAAAAAAATGATAAATGAAACGTTCTATTGATTTGAGTCCCTTGAATAGTTCACAATTTGAAAACTGTACACAGTATAATTTATTTAATGTTTATCTTTAATGTGTAATAATGGAAATTCTTAGAGGATTTGTGATTATTTACATAAATCCAATAGTTTATAAAATGAATAAACAAACCTTACACACATGCACACACATACACGCATACAACCATACACAGACATACACATAAACACTCATAAAAAGAAGCAATGCATACATTCTGTGCATTTATTGAAAATAGGTTAACAACAGTTAATGATGATTAGTATGTGAAATATAAAGAAAATGTTCAGTTATGATAATAATCAACAACATTTATAATTCATTTGAAATACTCTTACCATTATCATTTCTTAATTTTCCATATATAAACAAAACCAGAAAAAAAAAAGCAACATAACATAAGATAAACATATTCAAGTAGGAATGCTATAAATATCCAAATTGAATGATATTTATTTTATGTGTGTGTCTCTTTTTACTTTGTATCATGTAATCTGTATCTGCATCAGAATAAAGTGAGAATGGAGTGTGATGAGATTGTTCAATTTTTTTCTGGTTGATTTGATTGAAATCAATTTCACATTGGATAGAATTAGTCGGTTTAATAATAATAATAACAGAACTATGGGTTGGACTATTTACTTTTTTAATAATTGTCAATTTAATTCATGAGAAATAAAATGTTTTTTGAATTAATCATAAATAAATTGAACAAACTGATTAGTTAGCTGCTAGTTAACATCTATATATATTCAAATGTGTATATGACTGTAACAACTAAAACTGTTAGCTTTTATTGGAAATTAACATCATCTAACACGTCCTTCTAGGTTTAGAGAATACATTCAACATTTCTTTCATTTCATTTTGAAATTATCCATTTGTAGACTCGACAACAAACTTCATAGATTATGATTGTATGTAGATTTATTGTCTAATTATTAATTAGTCGTCAGTCAGTTACAACGTTGAACTTCATACATACATACATCGATTAGTTGATAGAGCCATACAACATTAGCATAGAGACGCGATTGTAAGTTCAAATCCCATAGTAGTAGAGATCGTAGAAGTATTAGCGGCGATGGAGAAGATTAGGTTAATTATTAAATAACTCGATTGTCAGGTTTATATCTATATTCGATTTATCATAAGCTATTTTATGAATCCATAAACATTTTCCATACGATTTAATGCTTTTATTTTGTGGTCAGTTTTTGTCCAGTCTTCATGACTCACTGTCATTCTCGACTCATTTATTATGTACATAGTTGCTATTTTCCCATTCTACGGTGTGATACGGTCGAGTATGTCTGTATATAAACTACGTATGCTTGCTAAATTATTTATAAAGCGGATTCTGATTACCGTGTTCTGTACTTAACGGACAGAACAAGAATAGAAGCCTCTGAATAGAGGACCAATAAGAACTTAACAATAACTCAAGGCTACCAATGTTGATTGGCATGTCATTGGTGAGCTCAGGGACAAAGTCGCTGAACTCGGAATTCTGATTGGTGGTTCTATCACGTGATATGAGTGACAAACCAGAATCGAAAAAAGGGCTTACCTTGTTGCTTGACAAAGACGAAAGAAATGTGATTCACTTTAGGTTTTGTTCTAACTTCACAAAAATATCATTGTTAACAAATGGTAGGTAGATTATTTGCTCAGGAATTATTATATACTTCATTGTCTTTATCAAAGCAACAGTTTGTTTTTCAATATAAGTTTGATATGTATTTTATGTCAATACGAACCAAATAATTTACTGACCGGTTATTCAGTTTTTTAATGTCTAGTCTTTCATGGGGCTAAGTTACTGATCTTCAATTTTGTGAATTGTCATCACTCAGAAACGCTAGATGGTCAGTATTTAGTCAGCCATACAGTGGATGGAACTTATTGCATTTTTATGTTGAAAAGAATATCTAATTCTTATGGGTGAGCTGACTGAAGTGTAAACTTCGACTCTTACGTTCAACTAGGTGGTTTTTACTAATAACTGATATCAAACGATGATCCATTGAATCCTGTGAAACATTTTTTTAAGTATTTCGCTTCACTTTAAAACTCTTCACCGCTAAGCATCATCAGAGTGGTGATGAAGCTTTTTAGGATCGTGAGTTTTTATTCCAGACATTTGGAGGTAGTTAATATGCAAATCCTGTTGTTGGTTTCAAATCCCATAGGGAGTACGACGTTCCTCAAAATTAAACGTACATGACAAGTCGTTTTCTTCAGACTACTGTCATTAATACATAGAGCAAGAGATAGAAAGTTACTTCAACTGATGATAGCGCTAGAAATCGATTGACAGAACTCAATCAGCACAATGCAATAGTTAAAAGTAAAAAAATTTTCGAAATAAAATACTGAATTATGCATATTGAATCATTGTAGGCATTCCACTTTACATAGTTGTACTAGAATAGATTATCTACTTTTATTTAACTACTGTTAAAAATAGTAGTAGTTTGTCGTAGTTTATAAAAATATTTTAAGTGTAAAGTGAAAAATCATTGAATTCATCCACACATATTAAACATGTATTCTTAAAATTGTATTTCAGTATTCTGATGGCCGTCAATTATGTGCTACAAGCCAATGGTCTGATAGAATATCACCTATAAATCCAACTAAATTAAATACTTTATCAAAATTGAAATCATTGAAAACTAAGTTAAATGAATGGAGTTCACACGAGTCATCATCATCATCATTTACCATTATTTTAACTGGTTTATCTAGTGGTTTAATATTTTTCGCCATATTAAGTACTATACTTGGTTGTATATTAAAACGTAGAAAACAACAGCTCAATCGAAGATCATTGCCTGAAACAAATACTAATAATCACTTATGCAAAGATTTTAACAAATCCATATTTAATGAAAAACATTTATTAACAACATCGAATTCAATGACAAAATGTTATTCATCAACAATTAACGAAGAGAATATTATTCATAAGAACAATGTGTTAAATTCAAAACCATCAAGTTATTTTTTAAATTTACCAATCGACGGATCAAATAGTCCATTGCATTCAAATAATAATAATCATACAATACCAATATTAAATTTTTCTTATTCCAATAATGAAATACAACAACCAATTTCTCCATTAAGTTTATCTTCATCTAATCAATTAACAACAATATCTGATTTATCACCAACAATCACTCGATCAATTTATGCGATGAATAATAATAATAAAAAATCTGAATCACCAACACGAAGTGTAAATAGTAATGAATTAATCAATGCGAAAACTATGCATCATATTCAATCGAAATATGGTAAAACAAATATACTAGAAAATTTCAATCAACTTGTTTGTGATGGAACACTTGAAAGTAAGTTCTAATGATTTTTGTATGGAATAGTGTTATTTCACAATTCGTTTTATGTATTGATTTTATTTGATAATGAAGAATCGATTTGAGGATTTCTTCAATTATTTAATAAAACATTAATATATATTTAGAAGAATTAGTTAGATATTGGCAATGGAACTTTCAATTAAATTGAATTAATATAAAAAAATCGATGCAACTGAATCAATAAAACAATTAATTTATCATGTTTCAATGACCAAAATATCTAAAAGTATATTTAACTTACATACCTAGCTGAGCATATTACTTCCAGCTACCGACAAGCACTCGCCAACAAATTCTTACGTGGACCTTCATTTACAGTTCTATCCAACTGCTGCGCAATATTTTCACGTCTGCCTCCGATCCTCAGCGCAGTTTGTTCCTTGGTCGATACCTTTGGCGTTGAAGATTTCGAGTTAGGGCTTGCCTCATGACGCAACTGATGATCTCCACAATCTTTGTTTTCATTACTACTTCAGATCGACCTTGTTTATCAGTGATGATGCCCAGATATGTTGCGGGTTTCTACATTTTTCAAAGTTTCTCCATCACATGTGATTTGGTTGGTGAATGTTGTGTTACATTGAAGGATCTTGTTCTTTGCCTGGTGTATGTTGAGACCTATTACTGCTAGCACTGCTGCCACATTGGTTGTTTTCTCATGCATTTGCTGTTGTGTGTTGGATAGAAGAGCCAAATCATCTGCAAAGTCTAGATCTCCCAGCTGCGTTCTGGTTGTCAACGGTAACCCCTGCTTCCCTCCAGATGTTGACGTTTTCATCATCCAGTCGAACATCAAAAGAGAAATGGTGAGAGTAAGCAACCTTGCCAGACACCGGTCTTCACCTCGAACGAGTCTGTCAACTGTCCTCCGTGGACGATGTTGCAGTTTAATCCATCATAAGACTTCAGTGTGATGTTGACTATATTCTCAAGCACGCCATAGTGTCGAAGAGACCTCTATTGTGTTATCCTGTCCACACAACCAAATGCTTTCTCGTAGTCAATCAAGTTGATTTAGATTGGTGAGACCCATTCAATCGATTGTTCCACAATGATCCGTAGTGTGTCAATTTGATCAGTACACGATCGATCGTTAAGGGACGCGGGCTGTTGATCTGGAAGTTGGACGTCTACTGAATCTTTCATTCGATTTAAAAACATTCCGTTGAAGACTTTGCCTGATATGGAGTGAGGAGTCATATCTGTGTAGTTCTCACTTACTGAGATCTCCTTTCTTTGATATTTTGATTAGATATCCTTCTTTCCAGTCTGATGTTGTTGTTGTCTGATGTCCATGCAGATCTCCTCAATTTTCGGTGTGCCAAAATCGATTGCGATTTTGAATGGGTTCATTAGGGCTGTTCGAATCAAGAGTAACTAAAATGATCTAATCAGCTGTTTCGTTGTTCTTCAATTGTTGCTGATGACTTTGCCCTCCTTGATTTTGACTGTTCGCTCTGGTTTACGATAGTTTCCAGCGAGCTTCTTAGTCGTGTCGTATAATTGTCTCATGTGTCCTTCTCTTGTAGCCTTTTCCGCCGTCATCGCCAGACCTTCAGCGTATTTACGTTTGTCAACTCTGATGCTCCTCTTCACTTGCTTGTTTGATTCTGTATATTCAGCTTATGCCTTGGCTTTCTGTGCTCTTGTTCGGCTGATGTTGTTTGGAGCGTTATTGTTCATCCTTCCTTGAATATTTTTCAAGAGTACTAACAGAGATCCATTAGTTGTGGTGGTACTTCTTGTGGTCAAGGACATCCTGACATGTTGAAGTGACCGCCTCCTTGATTTGTTTCCAATTGTTCTCCATCGTAGTTTCCTCTCCACTGAGTAGATCGTGAAAAGCCTGGAACGTATTTCTGAGGGCTATCTTATATTTTTCAGTTGGTAATACTTTAGAAAAAATCTGAATAAGTCTTAGCTAGCAGACGTATATCTTGCACTAACTGCTACCTACATTAGGTATACCTACCGAAGTTATTATTAGAACATAAAGCAAGCATATCCACAAAATTCACGTATTGGACTCCACTACTATCTATAACCCATTTGTTTGAGATAATTCTTGACAAGACAGATAAATTGAGGCCATCGTTACAGGATGCATATATATTAACAAAGACCATTCAAAATTCAATCTTGAGCACTGTCTAGGAGTTGAAAATTCAAACACTTACTAATACTGATTTTGAAAAAATAAGATATCTTACGACCACATAGCTTTACTAAAATCAAACTAAAACAAGTGAATCTCTATAATTGAACTGTTCAGTTCCTATTTGTACTATGCAGCTAACCTATTTTTCAAAACTACAGCTACTTTTTTGGTAGTATTAATAATAACAGCAATAAGGATAAACATACCGAGTTCATCCAAATAACTAAAAGGTTAAATATTTAATTTTTGTCTACTTGTTAGTAGTATAAAAAATTACACTAAATACTTTTAATCGTATCATTATTATTATTACCATCGTCCAATCTTACGAATTTTTTAGTACATCGAATGCCAATACCAGTTGAACAGTTTCAAGAAATAGTTTATCAAGCGAGAAATAATAATAGCTTTCAACAAGAATTTCAAACCATTGAACAAATCTCATTGACACGATATATTAGTGCAGTACATTCGAATTTAGATATAAATAGAGCAAAAAATCGATATCCGAATATTTTAGCCTATGATTGTACACGTGTGAATATTCAATCAAATTATCAACATCATGCCAATACTGCACAACATGGAATTATGACAGGATCAGATTATATAAATGCGAATTATATTGATGGTTATCGGAAACAATGTGCTTATATTGCAACTCAAGTAAGTAGATATTTTTTGATGAATCCAAAATCATTTTAAGCGGGTGAAATTTTAATCAAGTACAGAATGTTTTTGAATTCTATTCTATGATATAAAACATTTCATATTAGTAGTATCTGATGATACTGAGTCATTTATAATAAACCTATTTACCATTACTACATAATGAACTACATTGTATTTTCATTATTAAGTTGTGGAGATTGTTAAGTTTCATTGAAATTATGAATCGATCATTGTTAGATCACTAATAAAACCCTAGCTTTGCATGCGAGATCGAAGGTCCCCTGTTCGTTTCCCACATGTGGGAGTCATGGATGAGCACTGTTGTTAAGTCCCATTTCTAGGACTTGATGGCCGTCTAGTGCTTCCAGGTTTCTTCATGATGGCAGTCTAACAATGACCGATTTGATTGTTTCAACATTGTATTTATTCTTTGATTACATAATTTCAATGAAATTGATAATTAATAATGGGCTAGCATAGTTTAATATAAGTTTAAAATGTTAAATGGTTGAATGGTCGTTGGTAAGAAAACCTGTTTATAATACAAGTTTGATCGCATTTTTTATTATTCAGATAAATATTGACGGTTGTTTTGGAGACTCCACATTGAAATTGTACTCTAGTAAGATGGAAATATTTATATTTTTTTATGAAATTACAGTTGAATACTAATGTGCTCAAAAAAACATTTCAAAATACTGAGCAAAATTCTATTTGGAATATTTAAAAGGCTTTCATTAAACATTTGAAATTTATTTTGTAATTCATCTTAGGTAAAAATAAACTTTACATCTTATTGTACAATGAATTATGAAGACGTCAACATCTGGAGTAAGCACAGGATACAATGTACAGCTAGGATCCAGCTGGAAAATCTGGACTTGGCAGATGATCTGGCTCTTCTACCACATATGCAACAACAAATGCAAGAGAAGACGACCAGTGTAGTAGCAGTTTCAGCAAACGCAGGTATCAGCATACACAAGGAGAAATGTAAGATTCTCCGATACATCACAACATGCACCAACCCAATCACACTTGATGGACAGGCTTTGGAAAACATGAAGACCTCTACCTATCCGAGGAGCATCATCGTTAAATAAGGTAGATCTGATGCAGATGTGAAGACACAGATTAGCAAACGAAGGGTAACATTTCAACAATGGAAGAACATTTACAACTCAAAACAACTATCAACCAGTACCTGGGTCAGGATTTTCAATACGAACGTCAAGACAAATCTATTGTAAGGAGAGGAAACTTGAAGAACCACGTAAACCATAATCCACAAGATACAAGAGTTTATGAACTGTTGTCTAGGCAAAAAAACTTCAGATCTGTTGGCCAGACAGCATCAGCAACAACCTACTGTGAGAGATAACAGACCAGACGAAAAAATTCGGAAAAAGTACTGGAGGTGGATGAGACACACATTACGGAAAGCGCACAACTGCATCTTAAAGCAAGCCCTCAGTTAGAACCCTCAAGTTCATAAGAAAAGAGGAAGACCGGAAAACACATTACGCCCAGAAATGGAGATAAATATGAGACGAATAAGCAGAAATTGAACAGAACTAGAAAGGAAGGCGGCGAACGTAGTAAGTTGGAGTATGCTGGTCGGTGGCATATGTTCCTTTAGGGGGGGGGGAAGAGGCGTTAGTAATTAAGTGAGCTTATTGTACACAACATTAAACAATGAACATTATCTTTGTTATATAAATTCTTGTTAGATATTTTCAATATCAATAAATAAAAAGTATCAGATTTTCCGCTTTTAAATAATTCTACTTAATCTATAACACAAAAATATACTTTTTTGAGAAGTTTTTATAAGTTAAAGCGAGACGGCTGTATATCTGGATATTCTTGTTTTCATAAATTAACGAGATGGAATGGTAATGTAGTGAACCGTCATCAGACAGACTGATTTATTGGAATCATGAACCGATCGATGTTAGATCTCCAGAAAGTAATGAGTTGCCATGCCGTTCTAGTACGTGTTTCACCAACATTGCACATCCACGACCCCACAAGTAGAGGCCGGACTTGGAAACGTACGGCTTTGCGCGTAAATGCTCGAGCTCTAGCCCATTGAACTAGTAATAAACGGAGTCAATGTCTAACTTCAATCGGTTCGTGATATTAGGGCAACCTAACGCATTGCATTTGGTGAGTACTGTCTCAAATCTTACACGGTTGGACTCCACTAGTCACAGCTCACTGGAACTGCGAGAATTCCCTGACCAAGTTAGTCAATGATTAGGACTTGATTATTTTCATTGTATGGTCGAAGAGACTATTGAGTGGATGCACACTATTGACAAATTGCATACTAACAAGTAAAACCTGTTAAATGTTTCTTTGTACTTTGTTAGTTAACTTAACTAATGTCAGTTTCAGCGATACGCTACCCAACATATTTACATAACATGAACAACCAAAATAGTCGAAAAAAAAACAACTGATCGATTAAACTTTCTTCGAACGTTTTTCCGGTTGATTGTGGTTATTAATTAATTGAATAAGAAGTTGACAATTCAATTTTAGCTTTTTTGTAATACACATCGAGTGTCCGTTAGAATTTACTCATATTTAATTGGTTAACCAAGTTTCAAAAATAAATTGCGTTAAATTAACCAATCAAATGATTTGTTTTTTTTGTATTTACTGTATGATACACTACTTTTTAACATAAACAATTTAACATTGTAAGCATTAGTTATCACAAACTTAAACATGCATACAAATGTAAGTCAATGTATATATACACTTCTTTTTTTTCAACTAAAATAATTTAGATCAAAAGATCTTCATAATTGTTTTCATCACGTTATATGTATATTTATATACTTAAATATTTTCCAGGTCATTTCGCTAGGTTATACTGCAAACCGGATAAATGAATTGAGGATTTTCATTTCTGACCGTTTATTTTTGAAAATAATAAAAAATATCTTGATATTTTTCATACAGCCTACATGTATGCGATAAAAAATGCAAAGTTGACAATGACAGGGGTTCTGTAATGGTTTTTCACATAACAAAATGATTCTAGTATGATATTTGTTTCGTCCCTGTACAGGTCTCCTTAACAGTGTTCATCTGCAACACCAGCAGAGATCATAGCCAGGACATTCAGGGCTAGCGAAAACTGTTTAATTTAGATCACTGAGTTAGCATTCAATTGCTTATATGTTTAATTTAAGTTTATTTCTTGGTATTGTGTAACCATCTTTGGATTATTTTGAAGAGTAATTACTTAATAACTCTACTTGGTTCAACGCTATCAGTCATAGCTTTTCAACAGAACTCACCAGAATTACCTCACGAATAAGACTTTAGTGTACATTGAAATGATACTTGTATACAGTTGTCAAGATTGTTAATTGTCCCCCAACCTTTGGACAAATCAATGAATCCATTCTCCTCGAGTTATTCACACGTCTTCCGACCTTGTCGATTACTCGCCTATATCTTGGTTGGTTTATTTAAGTGCCTGGGTTCACGCTCACTTTGCTTATCATATGTCTAGCCTATTTGATCTGGTGATAGATAGTTACTCATGGCTTACTACATAAAGTTGGCCCGTTTGACTCCACTTCGCTTCGCATTCACGTTTCTCTTTATTGTCTGTCTGCTTAAATGAATGTATGAAATAAATTCATCCACATAGAACTGTATTGAGCTTTTTAATAATCACCATCGCAAAAAGTGCGTTCTTCTAGGCATGATATGTGGAAATTAAAGGCAAGATTTATTTCATAGCATATTTAATTGTTCGTAAAAATATGGAGTCAGATTGCGGACTACTGGAAAAGTTATTTTATCCTATTATGAGATTCATTATTAGTGTGCAAAGATTACTTTAATTACATATGCCTGTGACCCTCACTGGAGCATAGACTACCGACCACCAACCTCCAACCAAATCTCTCTTGAGCCTTCTTTTCCAGTTATATCCAGTCAGTGTTCATTTTTCTTCTCACGTTTATCTCCAGTACTCGGCCTCCTGTGTTCTTTGGTCTTCCTCATTTCCTTTGGTCCTGAGAATTCTAACTAAGGGATTGTCTTGTGACGTAGTTAGGTGCTTTTCTCAATGTTTGTCCTATCCACTTTCAGCTCTTCTTCTGCTCGAATCTGGTTTGTTCTCTCTCACAGTAAGTTGTTGCTGATGCTCTCTGGCCAACGGATCCATAATATTTTGCGGAGATACTGTAAAATTAAACTAATCTTAACAAATCACTTAACTAATTAAGCGGCAGAATGAATATATAATTATCATTCAAAGTGATATACACTTGCTCAGTAGATAATTCCTCCAAAAATTTAAAACACTTGATACTGTCATGAAAACCGAAATATATATATATATGATTGCAAACTAAGCAACCAGGGTTAGCTATTGTCTCCTCACCTATGGGAATCCATAAAACTGTTACATAGAATCATACACATGACTTATGTTCTTGCTAACTAGCATGTAACCTCAAAATCACTGAATTGTGTATAAGTTAAACTTCACTGGATTCACAATATATATCACACAACCATTAAACATTTTGTATGATGACACAGATTGAACTTCATTGAGATCATGGCTTCTCTAATTAAAACTGTTATGATTGTATTTCGAAGCTAATTTGTGTTGAATAGATGCTTATTATTTAATGCGAAATGATTGATGAAGATACTAAATAATCATTGATGAGTCACATACAAGGATGAAATGCCCATTCCAGGTTTCTGATGTTAATCTAATAATCATTGATTCATGATTTCAATTATAAACAACTTAGTTTACAGAAGATTTTTCAATCAAAATAGGTTCTAGCAAGAAACTAGAATTGAAAGTTAATAAAATTTCTACTCGAATTGGATAAAGATAAAATGGTTGAAAATCTTGACTTGGGAAAGATTTTCCAGTAGAATTTGAATGCTGAGAGACAAAGATTAGACAATGTTGTTATATTTTTCAATGAAGTATAAAACACATGGATTGTAAATATTAGATAATGGAGATTTTACGATGTCATTTTATAGATTTATTGTACAAATCGCACAAGAGCACATTCCCTTTCTCACTAACTAGTTAAATTTTCTAATTTTTCAAAGGTATACTAGTTAAGATCAGTTTGTGATTTAGACTATGAACATTCTACAATGTTCGTAAATCATTTCACATTGAATAATAGGCATCTACTCAATGCAAATACAATCATTAGGATTCTAATGAGAAGTCTCCTAACCAATGGAATTCAATTCGTGTCAGATGTGAAACAGTTATTCATCATATGTAATGGATAATGGTTGTGTGATATATATCACATGAATCGATTGAAATCAAACATATGCATGACTAGAGGTAAAGTGTTTGTTTACAAGACCCTAACTTATGTGTATAATTTCCTACGATAATGTTATGAATCGCAAGTGGTGAGGAGGTTTTAGTGTATACAAATTCGTCAAGCCTACATGGATTACTTCAGCCTACGGACAAATTAATTAATTCATTCTTCTTGAGTCATTATTCACAGGTCTGTTGACCTTGTCAATTAATCGATGATATTTTAGTTGTTTTTGAGTGCACGAATTTGCATTGCTCACTTTACTTATCACATGTTTAGCCTTATTCTTGCCTGACAATAAATACTTAGTCATGCCTCATTGAATTAAGTTGGCTCACTTGTCTTCTCCACTTCACTTTGTCCTGCTTTTACGTTCTGTCTGCTTAAATGAATGTGTACAATAAACTTATCCAACTGAATCTGTATTTGTCTTCTTATTATTACCGTCCCCACCATGCGTTATGTACGGAAAATTTATTCCATAGCATGCTTAATTGTTCGATGTGTTCTTCAGATGCCGGACCAATAAAGAGTTGTCTTATGCTAGAACGGAATGGCTGATTATTCAGCCATTGTTGCTTAGTTTTCAATGATGGTTTGATCTGTATCATTTTGTGATTGAAACAGTGAAACTACTTACAATCTTCACAAATCTATGTATAGTTTTAATAGAAGAAAATTATATACATTTTCAACTATTTGTTTGTTCTAATCCTATTGAAAGGCATTTTGTTTTTGGTATATTTAACTAATTCTCCCTATCGCCTATCTGCTATGCCTTTTCCTTTTTTATTTCAATTGTTTTTCTTTGGACTAGATCATTCATGATGTCCGTGTGTGTGTGTGTAAGTGTAGGTGTTGGGATAATTAGTTCACATTTATCTTAAATATATAAATATATATTTTAAACATTAATTAGGTCAGTAGACTGAATAGTTTTATTTACTTGGTTCAATGCATTGAATTCAAGTGAATGGTAAATATTATCATGTATATGATTTTAAAGAAGGTGACATTCCATATTTTAAATATTACAACAAATATTTACACGTACACTTAATTGATAAATAAGTGCCAAATACCATGAAATCTATTTTGAAGCAAAAGTTTTACTGTTGACCATCTTCAATTACCATCTTCTTTTGTAAAGTGTTGTTTTTTCTTACTAGAATTACATAGAATAAGCTGATAATTGTTCACTTGTTTAAATTCTGAATTGAATTTAGATAAATAAAACGACACGGATATTACTTACTTACTTACTTACTTACGCCTGCAGAGTACCCTTACAGAGTATAGTCCATCAACCAACATCCTCCAACTTACTCTGTCCTAGACTTGTCTTTCCAGTTCGCTGTTCATTCTTTTCATGCTTGTCTCCGATTCTCGTTTCAGTGTACTTCTTGGTTTATCTCTTTTCCATCGATCTGGAGGGTTCCAAGTTAGGGTTTGCGTTAGAAAATCTCAAATATTTTCACAACACACAAAATAAGTGAATAAAATATTGTATATTATTAGACTGTCATTAAGCCTTACTCTTAAACTTATCCTTCTCTTATCAACAACTTGTACTTTTATCTCTTATATGTGTAGTTACACAAATTCACTTTACTGCGATTACTGATTCACAATTTACTTTGATTGGACATGTTATATCTAACAACATATAACAAAACCATAAAAGCCATGACCAATGGAGTTCAACCCTGTTGGCGGTGAGACAGTTATCCATTGAGGACAATGGTTAAGGTTGCTCAGTACCTTGTATTGATCAAGACTGTTAGATGTCGGTTGATTGATTTAGAGGTTAAGAGGTTAAGTAAGAGACTGAAGCTCGTGGGTTGACTCCAGTTCGCGAAGGTTATGAATAAGCTCGGCCAATGAATCCCATTCTAAGATTTGACAGCCGTCCAATGCTTCAAAGTTTCTAATGGTGGTCTGACAATGATCAATTCATGATTTCATTGTGAAAACAACAATCTATAGAAGAACTTCATTATGAAAAATCATAAGACTATGCAACTTTCATTAGTAATGCTAAGAATTATACACGTTTTCTTTAATAAAACTCAATTTTTCATATGAACTTTTGACTTTTTTTAATCGGTTAACATTAATTTTAGTTCAGTAATTTATTAAATAGTCTAGGATAATCCTTTTGTTATCATATCAGGCCAAAAGTAATCGTGTCAATAAGCATAATAGATTTAATTTTTCACGTTTGAACAGGATCATAGGAATGATCTATAGGGAGATTATAGAGTATACACATGGAGGAATAGTTTCACAGTAGGACAGAAACAATCATCCAATGCTTTCTGATTGTCATTCTTCACAAACCTCTTATTACTACAGTTTGAATGCTTATTAAAAAAAAAAATCTTATTTTATTTTTATTTCATTTAATTTTAAGCGTATTATCACTTATCTAAGTGAAAATTACCTACTCAGTTACTTAGTTACTTACTTATGTCTGTTACTCCGTATGCAGTGTAGACCACCGATCAGCATTCTTCATCCAACTGTCTCTTGGCTTGTCCTTTTCCAGTTATTCCCAATTGTTGTTCATTCTTTTCACGTTTGTCTCCAATTCTCAGTGCAGTATGAACTTTTCCTTTCGTCTTGTGGATTTCTCTTCAAAGTTTTTGCCTCACAAAGTAGTTGGATGCTTTCTGTAATGTGTCTTGATCGAAAGATACAATTCAAAATCACTAAGTGAAAATAGATTGAAATCATTTAATGGTTAATTTGTTTGACTTTTTGATAAGTTTCAACATTCTTTTTATTATTTTTTATTTTTTATTTTATTTTTTCTATTTTATTTTATTCAATTTATTGATTTAAAGGCACCTCTACCAAATACATTTGATCATTTTTGGACAATGATATGGGAACAAAATACAAGTGTTATAGTTATGCTAACTAAACTTATTGAAAATGGACAAATCAAATCTGATCAATATTGGCCAAATAGTGGAGTATTAATATTTGCTGATAAATTGATTGTAACACATTTAGAAACAAATGAATTAGCTAATTATATAATACGTTGTTTTGAATTAAAAAAAGATAAGTAAGTGAAATGATGTGTCTGCTTAAAATTCCGATTGAACTCATATAAATCGATGAATGTTAGATCATCATTAGAAACCTGATAACACTGGACGGCCATCAAGTTCTGTGTAGTATGCGACTGATCAAACATCAATACCGTTGAATGTTGGCTCAGTGTTCTAAAGGTTTAGAATTTGCGTGCGAAACCGAAGGTCCTGGGTTTGATTATCGATTGTGTGGTCATGGATGAGCACTGCTGATAGGTTCCATACTAGGATAAGACAGCTGTCCAGTACTTTTAGCTTTCTAATACTGGTCTAACGTTGATTGATTCATGATTTCAACGAAACTCAATTGTCTCTGCAACCGTATAATGAAAATTATGATTATTATTGTGTTTTTTTTGTTGTTGATAATTTATTGATAATTTTTAGATGAATCAAATTAAGAATAATGGTTTTTTGTAAATGAATCTATGGAGTTGAGTGAGTGATGGAATTGCAAAATCTATGTTACATTTATCATTTATCAATTGAATGTATATGTCACATTTTTATGTGATTGTTTCTATTGGGACTTGAACCTCTTGCATCATACATTGAGCTGCTAAAAATCCAGACAGTTATCAACTTGTTTATATGACTATTAGTTAATCGTTTGAATATTTTTACCGTGGTTAATATATTTAATGTAGAGTTTTGATTAATATTTTATGGTATATATGGATTCATTGAGGAGAACCTCAGTGTTTTTGCTTCATGTCAATAAGCAACATTCAGAATTAATAACAATACATGCATTGTACTCTTTAACAAGTTATTAACCATTGAAACTGATATTAGCTCAGTGAAATGACACAGAATGACACAGAATTCAAATCCTTATCCAACTGACAAATTCAGACAGAACAAATTTCACCATATTAAATCTCAATTTTAGCCGCATACCACATAAATATTATTAAAATGTGATTTATAATTTCATAAATCATTTCTGAATTAGCCTCAAAAAAAAAATAAACACAAAAAAATACTTTACCAATTTGACCTTTGAAATATTGCCAAAAAAACAAAACAAAACAAAACAAACGTGTTCAATGATCATTGCTTGTTGGGAAAAAAAATAGTTAACATACCATAAATCATCACCCACATATGCACACATACACACACAAATTTCATAATATAAATGTGTTTTTATTTATTGAAAAAAAGAGGATGGCAATGTAAATAACTTCACCAGTATATATGAATAATTATGATTGACAATAATTTAATCAGTCAGTCAACAACAACAACATAGAACTTCGTACGTACGTAAATCAGTTTAAGTTGCCATACCACATTAGCACAGAGATGCTATTGTCAATTCAAATCCCATAGAAGTACAGGCAGTAGAAGTATTGACAGTAATCAGAAGGATTAGGGTTCGAAGATATTATTGAAGAAGTAGGATCTAGTGAAATAAACTTAAAAGAAAAAGATAAAGGTAATGACGAATTTAGAAGGTTAGGATTTGAGAGAACACAAAGAGTGGATGCACCGGCGCCATTGCAAACGATTTTGAGCCATGTCGTTCAAGGTCTCTAACCATTGGTGACTTTCGTCTCGCGGACCCCAACCAGGTAGTCTACATCTACCAAAATGAATCAATCCACTTGTAAGTGACTTCATGGATTTGTACCATCCTCTGGTCTGGCCGCCCCTAGCTTTCTTCCAACCAATTCCTACACCACAAAACATAGCTCGACGAGGCAGTCGGTGGTTAGGCATACGCAACACATGTGCTAACTACCTCAACCGATTAAGTTTCACAACTTCATCTATTGACCTGCCGTCTCTACATAGTACTCGTTTCCTAACAACTGCATGACTTACTCGGTTGACCCAGGATACATGAGCAATGCTTCGAAGACACCAATGATCTAAAACCAGTAACCTTCGAATATCCTCAACTCCTTAAAGTACGACAGAGCGAACTGCAGCGCATTGCACTCGTCATTTAGTCAGCGAACAGATACCTCGCCTACGCCATAAGTGACGAGGTTGGAAAAATCCGATTGGGCCTTCTGTATCCGTGCTGAGATTCCGTCACACACCAGGTTATCAGCACTGATGAGACTCCCAAGATAAGTGAATTGGTCAACATGCTCAACTGCTTCACTTCCTATCACTAGTTTAGATGCCGGTACAAGCCAATCCTGAATCGACATTTTGCATTTCTAGGTAGAAAGTGGACATCCCTCACGGACACCACTTGAAGCAATCATCTCCGATGACATTTCTCCATAAGCTCTCAATCGACCTGCAGTGTTCGAATAGAGAGCTTTTAAAGGGTTAATGTACTTATTTGGTACACCTTTCAATGACAGACACTGCCATAAAACCTCTCGACCGACAGAGTCGAATGCCGCTTTCAGAACCAGGAAAACTACTATTGTCGGACGCCTAAATTAGTGTCTGTGTTCCAGGAACTGTTGTAGTGTGTGTGATCTTCACTAACCACCACTGTTCGCGATCGTTACGTAGGCTTTTTATCAGCCTGCACTTAGGCTGACTTCACTCTTCGATATGTTTGAATCCAGGCGGGATGGGTTTCCGAGAGTCTATCAGTTCGTTGGATGCTACTGTGATTCATGGCTTCTTCTTAACCTTATGATTTACCTTACTAGAAGATATCACTGCTGTTTCCACAGCCTTTTTGATATCATTCCAAGCTGTCTCAGTGTGGGTATCACTTACGTCGCTACCTAATTGTTTTTCTGATTGTTCCTGAAATATATTCTTAGCTTTATTATCATTAAGTAGAGCCCTAGGAGTTTTCGTTGCGATATTTTTCTTGCGTCCAGTAAGGCGCAAACAAATGGGCGCTTGCACTAGAGCATGATCTGAATCTAAACATGTGCCCCAGAACAAGCGACAGCCCTCTATCAAACCCCTCCATCGATGGCTTATACCGATGTGATCTAGTTGGGTTCAGCGATGGGTCGGCTCTGAGGGTCGCCAGGTCAAGAGATGTTTTTCCTTATACTTAAAGTTAGTGCTTGCTACATATACACAGTTATATGAACATAGCTGAAGTACACGGTCGCCATTATCTATTCTCTGAGCCGCGACACCATAATATCCGCCCAGGTGTCTTTCCTTTTCACCAAGTCTACCTACTTGAGCATTGAAGTCACCAGCCATTATTACTACATCAGAATGCTTAAAGTTTTGAAGGAGGTTAGAGAGGTTTCCGTAAAACCTATCTTTTATTTTGTCTGAACTGTAGCCAGTGGGAGTATTGCATTGAGCGCTAGTGTTGTGTCTTGTTCAAGGTGGTTTAGCAACCAAGTTCTGATGTCGGAGAATTCAGGTGATTGAATTGGTCGTCAGTAGGAGATCTGAGCTTGAACCGTTCGCACTCACGGTTGGAAATGTCGACATGGGTCAGGAAGTCATCGGATTCATTCATGACCAGTTTTAAGCAGAGATAGCGAGTTAGATTGCTAGAAATAGGTGATCATCTGAACATAGTTGCTGTAGACGGTCGCCATTATCTGACCTTTGAGCCACGACACTATAATATCAACCGAGATGTCTTTACTTCGCAACTAGTCTACCTACTTCAGCATTAAATTCACCAGCCCTATTACTATATCAGGGCGCTTAACTTTTTGACGAAGGTTAGAAAAGCTCCTATAAATCTCATCTTTTATTTCGTCTGAACTGCAGCCAGTGGGAGCACAAGCAGGTACGACGAAGAGGCAAGAGGCAAGTTTCCTTATCTTTACGAGTCCGTACTGTCCTGTTAAGTTGGATAGCGCACAAGAGACTATCTACTGGGATCTAGTGTAAGAGAGCCAGTTCTGCCCCAGGACTCAATGCTATACGTACAACAACGAGACCCCGAGAAGCAGTAGCAGGGCTTCCAGATAGACGGAGAGTAAACCGAGTTGATTCTCTATCTGCACAAGGTGAAATCGAATTGATTTTATTCGGGTCTTGTATGCGCGTTTCCGAGACGCAACGCACATCGATGGCACAGGATTCCAGAGTTCTAGTAAGTGAAGCCTGTTGTCCTATTTGGCACAAGGTTTGAACATTAAAAGCTCCAACATGTAGTTTAGAACGGGGTTTCAGGAGACCATGAATAATGTTTCGTGAACTCAAACCGTTTGCTTCAGTGGTGCGAGATGACAAACGATCGAAGGAAGAGTTAGACGAGGAGATAAGAGAGTTATTATGAGGTGTAGAAAGGATTTATTTGCGACAAATTTGGTCTATTGTTCTGGCACGTGTATATGACGGATGTCGATCACTCGATGCCCACACCGTGAAAGGGTGATTTTTGAGGAACCTGAAACGAAGGTAGATTAGTGTCGATCCTAGAGACCTGGGAGCGTGACCTCAGAGCCCAAGGGACAACTGCTCACGCACGGCCTATTTATGAAAGGTTTTTTTCAGTATTAGGTCCGTTCTTTTAAAGCCCTTATTGAGCAGCCCTTACCGACGGAGACGGAAATCCACGAGGTAGGGTGTGGTGTAACATTTTTAGGATCGATCTTTTTTCACTTTCCTTTCTTCCTTGTGAGAAGGCACCATCCCTGAAGATGCTGCAGGGATAGAATAGAGCTAGAATAGAGATAGAATAGAGCTCCAGTATAGACATTAACACATTGAGATGTGGCAGGTACATCTAAATGGCCAGTTTCAAATAGAATTAAACGCAGGTCCTAGATCTTACTATTAACATCAATCTAACTTAAATAAAACGTTTATCAAATCAATCTGATTCTTGAAAAAGTTCATTTACAAAATGAATGTTTGAAAAATAATCTAACTGTAATAATGAACCAATCAGTTCAGTCTCATGCAAAGATAAAACGATAGTCCAGTGCTTTCAGGTTGTCAATGGTGATCGAACGTTGATCAAATCATGATTTCAATGAAAGTTGTGTCCACTTACTACTACTGTACACGGTATAGTTTCAAAATTTTGATCAAATACAGTTTAGTCACAATCATTCTGATTCATTTTATTGATATTTTTTCGCTTTTTCTTTTGTCTCTAGTGAACATAGAAAAATTTGGCATTTACAATATACAAGTTGGCCAGATCAAGAAGTTCCATCTTACTCTACTGTATTTTTAATGTTTCTTCGACGTGTTGGTACAATAACGCCGAATGATTGTGGTCCAATAGTTGTACACTGTTCATCTGGAACTGGAAGAACAGGTAAAAAAGTGTCAGTTAGCATTATACTACTGATCTACTACGGCTACTGCTGATCCCAAGCCCAGATAAAGGAGAAGGGTTGAATATGGGATTGGCAACTCCATACTGTAGAAAACTAACTCGCTACAAAAATTCTAACTAGAAAACATAATTCAAACCATTTTAAATCTGCCCTGGGAGTTACAAGCTCTTCATTCAGAATAGTTTTGATGTCTCATGATGAAAGCTGAGTTCCTTCGGAAGTCACGTGGCCGATGCCCCTTCTGACAACCAGAGCAAACACTCTTTTAAGTACACGGATTGTTCGTACATTGTTTTATACCGGAGGACTATTCCAAGTTGCTGTAGAAATGAAAAGATACAACCTAGAGGTGCTTGAATTCAGTGAAACACATTGGACGCAGGTTGGACAACTAAAACTAGCTTCGGGACAGCTGCTGTTATACTCCGGCCATGAAGAAGAAAATGCCTCCTCGCACACACAAGGAGTTGCACTGATGCTGTCAAAACAAGCAGAAAAGGCACTGATAAGATGGGAATCTCATAGACCCAGAATCATCAAAGCATCCTTCAAAACAAGGAAAGAGGGCATTATAATAGACATCATCTAATGCTATGCACTTACCAAGGCATTAAAAATCAATTTTACGAGAGGCTGCAGTCAGTCGTTGAGAGATGCTCACCAAAGGATTTGACAATTCGGGTGAGAGAACAAAATGCCAAGGTTGGCATGGACAACATCGGATACGAAGACATCATGGGACGACAAGGAACGGAAATGTTGGGAGGTTTGAAATCCTATGTGCCTTCAACAAACTGGTCATCGGCGGCACAGTATTCCCACACGAACACATGCACAAAGCCACATGGATTTCACCGGATCACACTACTCAGAACCAAATCGACTATATCTGTATCAATAAAATGTTCAGAAGGACCAAAGAGGACCTGAAAACCAAAATAAGGGCTGAAATAACCTCAGATCACCACTTTCTGGTAGCCAAAATGAAACTGAAACTTAAGAGGCACTAGACAACCGAGCGGACAACAACAGGAAAATTATTACGGCCTCTCTTCGGGATACTGACAAACTCAACTAATTCAGGATAACTCTCAGAAATACGTTCCAGGCTTTTCACGATCTACTCAGTGGAGAGGAAACTACGATGGAGAACAATTGGAAACAAATCAAGGAGGCGGTCACTTCAACATGTCAGGATGTCTCTGACCACAAGAAGTACCACCACAACTAATGAATCTCTTTTGGTACTCTTGAAAAATATTCAAGGAAGGTGAAGAGGAGCATCAGAGTTGACAAACGTAAATACGCTGAAGGTCTGGCGATGACGACAGAAGAGGCTACAAGAGAAGGACACATGAGACAATTATACGACACGACTAAGAAGCTCTCTGGAAACTATCGTAAACCAGTGCGAACAGTCAAAATCACGGAAGGCAAAGTCATCAGCAACAATTGAAGAACAACGAAACAGGTGGGTAGAGCACTATAAGGAACTCTTGAATCGACCAGCTACACTGAACCCACTCAAAATCAAAGCAGCATCCACGGACCTTGCAATCGATGTTTGCACACCAAAAATTGAGGACATCTGCATGGACATCAGACACGCCAAGTTCAGTAAAGCAGAAGGACCAGAGAACATACCAGTTGAGCCATTGAAACAGACATAACAGCAACTGCAAAGATACTGCACATTCTCTTCAACAAGATTTGGGATGCAGAACAAGTACCAGCAGACTGCGAAGAAGGATATCTAATCAAAATATCAAAGAAAGGAGATATCAGTAAGTGAGAACTACACAGGTATGACTCCTCACTCCATACCAGGCAAAGTCTTCAACGGAATGTTTTTAAATCGAATGAAAGATTCAGTAGACGTCCAACTTCCAGATCAACAGCCTGCATCCCTTAACGATCAGTCGTGTACTGATCAAATTGACACACTACGGATCATTGTGGAACAATCAATTGAATGGATCTCACCACTCTACATCAACTTGATTGACTACGAGTAAGCATTTGGTTGTGTGGACAGGACAACACAATGGAGGTCTCTTCGACACTATGGCGTGCCTGAGAATATAGTCAACATCATACTGAAGTCTTATGATGGATTAAACTGCAACATCGTCCATGGAGGACAGTTGACAGACTCGTTCGAGGTGAAGACCGATGTCAGACAAGGTCGCTTACTCCCACCCTTTCTCTTCTGATGTTCGAGTGGATGATGAAGACGTTGAAATCTGAGGGAAAGTACGGAACACAGTGGACAAGTAGTACGCGGCTGGGCGATCTAGACTTTGCAGATGATTTGGCTCTTCTCTCGCACACACAACAAGAAACGTAGAAGACGGCCAGTGTGCCAGCAGCCTTAGCAGCAGGTCCAAATATACAAAAAGGGGAAAGCAAGATTCTTCGAAACAACACAACATGCACAAATCAAATTACTCCTGATGGAGATGCCTTGGAGGACGTTACAACTTTTACATATCTGTGCAGCATCATTGACCATCAAGGTGTATCCGATGCAAACGTAATGCTATTCGCCAATTTGTCCAGTGCCACCTTAGTTTCAGTTTCATTTTGGCGACTAGCAAGTGGTGATCTAAAGTTATGTCAACTCCCCGCTTTGTTCTCATATCCTTCATTGTCCTTCTGAACATTTTGCTGATGCAGGTGTGATCAGTTTGGTTCTGTTTAGTGTGTTTCCGTGAAACCCGTGTGGTTTTGTTTATGTGTTTCTGTGGGAATATGGTACCGTCTATAATCATTTTGTTGAAGGCACAAAGATTTGCAAACGTCTCAGCATTTTCATTCTTTTCTCCTAGTCCATGTCATCCCATGATGTCTTTATACCCAGTGTTGTCCATTCCAACCTTAGCATTTAGGTCGCCCATCAGAATGGTAAAATGCTGTGTTGGGAATTTCTCGATTTTTGACTACAGACTCTTACAGAACTAATGTTCATCGTCATCATTTTTATCGTGGCGGGTGCATAGCATTGAGTGATTTTATTGAAGTCTCCTCTTCTTTAGTTTTAAAGGATGCTCTGTTGATCCTGAGTTCATGACGGTTCTATTCTATAATTTCACCTTTTTCTCCATTGAACAGCATCATTGCACCTTCTTGTATATTTGAGGTGTTTTCTTCTTCGTAACCAGAGTGGGACACTATGTTTCCTGAAGCTAATCTTTTTCGTCCAGTCTACGTACAGTGAGTCTTATTGCTTCCATGTACCTACATGTTGTATCTTTTCCTATCCGCAGTAAATTGAGTGGTCTTTCTGATCTTCGGAATTGTGCTAACATCCCATGTACCTATATAAATTGTTTCTCTGGCTGTCAAAAAGGGTGTCGGCCTACTGATCTCACACGAGACTCGGCTTTCATTACGAGGCATCAAAACTCTCCTAACTGATGACCAAACTTTCAGGGTGGAGTTTAAATGGGTAAACTATTGGTTGTCGTTAGCCTTTTTTTAGCAAGTTTGTTTTCTGAAGGATGATGCTGTTAACCGATACTCAACCCTCCGGATTAGGGACTGGTGGTAGCCCTAGAAGGGCTCCGGGTGTATATGTATTTTTCATTATAGGGTTGTGGAGATTATTGAGTGACTTTGAAATCATGAATCAATCGTTGTTAGACCACCATTAGAAACCTGGAAGCATTCATTGGATGGCTGTTTCGTCCTGGTATAGGACTCATCAGCAGTGCACATCCACGATTCCTGCTACTCGTAGAAATCAAAACCAGGACCATTGGTCTTGCGTGAGAACGCCTAACCTTTGGACTATTGATGTATTAATTCCTTGAAGAAATATTATCAAAAAATAAACATGATAACCGAATAGAATGATTATTATTATACTGGATAATAGAGTGTGAATAATAACAGCAAAAGATTGTGTGTATAGATGTGTAAAATTAATAGATTAGCAACTGATTAATAAAGCGAATAAAATATTTTTTTATTACAGTAATACTAAATATATATAATATCAGTGAAATAAAATTAAATTGCTACCAGAAACAATGATAGATAAAATCAAGAAGATATAAAGAATAATTCAGAGTGATGAGTGGATATTTTTTGAACAATAAATTAGCTAATAATGACAACAATGATCGTTTAAGATTATAGTAGAAATAAATATCAAATCTACTTATTTTGTACACGCATTATGCTAATTTCATCTTATGTATGGTAAAAACTTTCGTTGGTTTTGAAGAAGTTGAATAGGTAGAAGAAATCTAATTACATTTGGATGAATTGTATTCACAACCTTTTAATCAACGGATAAATCAGTGAAACAAATTGAAATTAATTAAATGTTCAAGAATGGAACTTTTAATGGTTTTCCTTCAACTCTTCTAAAATCACTCTGTAGTGTGTGTTCTTGTAACCGAGTTAAAAATAACTACTTTCTACGGCTTCTAAACATTGCTTTACAAGAGCAGGTGAACCAGTGGTTATATACAGAAGTGCCTAGACACGGTAGCCTAAGTTTTACAGATACAGAAACCAATCTTTTATCAGTGAACGTTAATTATAGCTTTGCTTCATAGCACTTCCTTTCTATAGCTATCGTTAGCAAATTTTTAAATACATCAGATGTTTGGTCAGATTTTTACAGTGATATTTGTTCGAAACGGAATTTTCGGTTTATTCATTCCGATTTGATTACATGTTGTTCTCTAAGAAGCTGTTTGTGTAGCCGTTTCTACTCAAAGTTTTTCTCAACAACGTAAGTTCATCATCAATAAACTCAGTATTACAGATGTTGTGTACTCTGTGATATAAAGAATGAATACGATTCCTCTTTCTGTTTAGTGAAACCTAACCATATATGTTATTCAGTTAGCTATTCCATATTTATTTTTTCTAAAAGAACCCTTGTTAAGATTCAACATTCTCTCTTGTCAGAATCACGTCAAGAAATGGGATAGAATAATGTTTTTCATTTTCTAATATGAAGTTAAAGAAAGAATGGCATGTATTCTATGAGTAGACATCATTTGATCAGCATAGACCTTTGAAAATTCAATGTATTTGTAATTTAAATATTGAAGAAATTGTTATATCACAATGTTACACAGAATTTAACATTTAACAATACTTTTAATAACATGCATTGTGTTTGATAACAGTAAATAATCATTCAAAACAAAAAAAATTTACAAATAGATTAAGATATGATGATTCTTACTGAAATACTCAATTATTTATTATCTATAAATTCTATTCCACTAACAACAACAGAGTATTATGTTGCATAGAAATAAATCATCATGTATTAGATACCGGTGGATAATCGATATAAAACTTCATTTAGTTAATATCTTGTCAATATCTGAAAAAATTATCAATAAAGCATATTTACACTCTTGATAGAAATAAGACCCTTTGTATATATAATTCAATAATCCTTTGTCATTTAATGTCAACATGAAGTGTTCCTAGTAAACTATGTTATTAGATCAATTTCTATTTAATACCTAAATAGAAACAATAGTTTTTATGAAGAAAAACGTTTCAATTCTATTATATTAATGTGGATAAGTTAGTATTTTATGCCAGTACTTGAATACTCATAAATGTGAATTTCAAGTGATATTCATTTGTTGGAAAGTTTGTGTTGATTTCATTGATTTTCGAATATCTGAACACAAGAGTTACATAAATGAAGCTCTGATTGTTTGAAGTTAAACTTACTGAGTTCGAATTTCAAATGTGAATGTCAATATCGCTTAAGTTCATCCAATTGAAAAATTTTCAGTTTCCACCATCTTAAAATTCGTCGTTCTTAATTATAAGAGAACATTTTTCCGACGTTGTGTAATAATCGAGTCGTGAGTCAAACATTGTTAGGTCACCATGAGAAACCTGGAAGCACTGGGCGGTCGTCGTTTCCTAACATAGGACTTTTCGGCAGTGCGCAAAATCCTTAGGATCAAAGTTAAAAATCAACACCGTTGGGTGCTGGCTCAGTGCTTTAAACGTTGCGCGAGACCGAAGGTCCTGGGTTCGATTACCGCCTGTTAGGGTCGGTGGATGCACACTGCTGATGAGTCCCATACTAGGATGAGACGGCTGTCCATTGCTTCCAGGTTTCTAATGATGGTCTAACAATGATCTCTTTATTATTTCAATGAAATCTAACAATCTCTATAGCTCTATAATGAAAAAATATATATATACAATATGTATCTTTTATTCCAGCACACAAATGTACATTTAGTTAATTTTTAAGAAGCCAATGGAATACATTTTGATAACTTATAATTCTGATAACTCAAAGCTATATCCATTTTGTTAATCAACCTGGCACATTTGATGCTCTGAGGTTACTAAATTCTACAGTTCTCTTATCACAGCTACTAATAATCTGCCTATACATCCAACATTAAAGTATCTGTTAAGGGGCCTTATATACATCTACATATATATGCTCATGAACATCACTGAATTATGCGACGAGGCCTAGAAAAAAAATGTTCTTAACAGCAATAATCCAATTACTTTTTAAGCAGTCATTTATGTTGGTAATAAGTAATATTATTAATAATAGTTGATTGCGTGATAAACTTATGGCAGAAATTAATATAGATGGATTATACAATTTTTCTAGACGAGTTATTACATATTTTATTGTTATATGACTGACCATCTTCATTAAGATAATAATTATGATCATAATAATTAATATATTACTAACAAATGTTTGTAGGTGGTAGTATAAATATAAATGACAAAGTTTTTTTTTATCACATCAAAAAAAAAAAATTCTCACAATTTAAATGAACTGATTTGTTATACACTTTATTTGCATTGTTCATTAATTTAACAATATTTAATTGTTCTATGCACACTATTAACTGAAAAAAAAATAAAATAAAATAGAAATTTTTACGCCATTTAGATATATATATATAAACGAAAGCGTTTAAATTTTACATGATAAATATATTATCAGAGAAAGTATAATTTCTTTCTTTTTTCATCATTCATTTACACAAATAAAATTTCTACTAAATTTTAAATGAGCTATTTATAAGTTGAAATAAAAAAAAAACAAAAAAAAAACTAAACACTTTTATTTTTTTTATTATCTAAGTATGTTAAATGAAAGTGAAAGATTACACAAACTGATTTGAATACACGTGAAAGAAAAACAGATTATTTTTTAGTTGTTGCTGTATTGAATTCATAGTATGGGCTCACCATTTTGGTGACTTACGATCTGACTCAAGAATGATCGAGCATGTGATGGAATAAAACTTCTTCTTCGATTTCCGTACATCATAATTAGGCGTATCCCGTCTGTGCGACGGTGGTAGTAAGAAGACATGTACGGATTCAGTCGGATAAGTTTCATTTTATGTAATCGTTCGCGCAGATAGATACAAGAACAAAAAGCTTAAAAGCATAGTGAAGTGAAGTGGAGTGGAGAAAACGAATGAGCCAACTTATTTGGATGAAGCATGGATTAACTATTTAGATACAGACATGTCATAAGCTAAGTAAGTAGTACACAAACATACTTGAATAAAAAAAACAACCAAATATATGAACGAATGATTGATTGACAAGATCGAAAGATGAGTAGGGAATAGTGATTCGGACAGAAAAGGTTAATTAGTTTATCCAAAGGCTAGAACAAGCCAAATGTGCTCAACATATGGGTACACACTAAATCTAATCAAGTGTATCATGAAGAGTCGACACACTATACAATGTCGCTTATACACAAAATCGTGCGTAATATATAACACAATCTTATGTACAGTTCTTACATTGTTTGAATTTTACACTGATACAATGTGTTTGCACTATGACACTCTCTGATGCCTTGTATTCTACATGCTGTTTTCTCACTGTTTACAGTAATTGTAGTAAATTTGTTCTAGGTTGTTTAGCAGTAAAAAAATGATATGAAATAATTGTGTATTGAAGTTAATGAGATGGTGGAGAAAACTTGTAGCTCAGGTAGATGATTGTGGTGGTGTTTCTTTCTCTGAGCTGGTTGTTTTGGTTGTGGAGCTTTCATTGTTCTTCTGAACAACATCATCAGCACAAACTTCAGATAGATGTTGTTCAGAAGAACAATGAAAGCTCCACAACCAAAACAACCAGCTCAGAGAACGAAACACCACCACAACTGAAGTTAATCCATTGCAGAAAAATATTGAATACAACAAGGTAAATCACAAGAAGTCCTTTTCATCCTAAAATTTCGTCCTAGATAACATACACTTAATGTTGGTTAAGCTTTGAAAGTTAGACACATATATACCTGGTACAATAAATTACATCATAGATATTTGTCTAAATCTGAAGATTTAAACGAATAGTACAACCAATGAATTAGTTATCTGGTAATCTAAATTGTTCAGATGAATAAAAATCTTTGAATTCCTCTTTTAATAAATTCTCAATATATATATATATATATATATATATATATATATATATAGAGAGAGAGAGAGAGAGAGAGAGAGAGTTAATGAAAACCAGGAATAATTAAGTCACTACACTGTTCTAGTTTGAAATTTTATGTCATTGCATAGTTGTGATCTTATACAACATTGAAACTCAACACCCATTGGTAAATAAAGAAAGTTCTAAACTACTCACTAACTTACACCTGTTACCTCCAATGGAGCATAGGCCACTGACCTACTTAATCATGGGCTTTTCCAGTTTCGCTCAGTTATTGTTCATTATTTTCCTATCTGCTTCCTATCCCCCGCGTAATGTCTTCCTTCGTCTTCCTCTTTTCTTCTGGCCTTGAGGATTTCAAGTTGGGGATTGTCTCGTGACGCAGTTGGGTGCTTTCCTCAAAGTTTGAAATTACCAATTTGCACTTCAACACTTTAAATTTCTTCAGTCAATGTATAACGTAATACAAACATTGTCCACTCTTACTGATGTATCGTTGTCAAATATTGAATTTGCTTAAGAGTTTTGTGAACATTGATATTTTTATTAGAAACGTCTGAAAAATTGTTTTTAAACACGACAAATTAAAATAACTATGTATCTTTGTAACACTCGTATTTAAATACTCTGTTAACTTTCATAGTTTGTATTATGAAACCAATCTTACTTAGAAAATCATTAAAACCCTAGAAAGCATTTAAAAACTATTTCAACAGTACACATTGACGATATCCACAGTTATGTAAGTCAATATTTTAAGACCTAGCAGTCAGTCAGAACAATTGAGCATGCTGTTGATCATCTTAATGAATTCTATAGTTATTATAGACTTAAGTTATCACTTGTAAGGGGTCCGATACCGGAGATCAAGTATCTGCCCTATACTTATTATTATTCAGTTATCACCCAACTATGATCAGCCTATGATGTAAACTATGAGATTCAATAATTTCTACAAACCCTGTATTGTACTGTTAGTGTATTATTTATTAAACAGAAACATTTTTTCTCATTCTATTCTATTATATTATCTAGGCGTTTATATTGCAATGAACATATTACTGGAACGTATGAAAAACGAATCAATGATTGATATATTTGGTCTGGTGAATCAGTTACGCACGCAACGTAATTATTTGATTGAAACACCTGAACAATATCAATTTTTATACAATGCCTTACTTGAATCTATTACAGATGGTAATACCGAAGTATCTGCGCGTAATCTATACACACATTTACAGCATTTATCTATGCTACAAACTACAACTACTACTACCAATACTACTTATAATAACACTAATAATAGTAGTAATAATACAAATGATCTTAACAGTACATTGTCTACAACAACAATACCAACAACTCCATTGGCGAATAGTTTAAATGAAATATCTAACAATATAACAGCAGCAACAAATTCATTAGGTCTTACTGGATTTCAATTAGAATTTCGTAAAATTAATAAATTATCACCTAATACAACTTTAACATCGAATTATGTTCAGTCGAAAACTGGTTTTATTGGTTATACACCACCTGGAAGTCCTGTACATGGTTATAAATTAAGTGTATCATGTGATGCTGCTAAACAAAGTGTAAGTTTAATTAAGTGTTTTTTTTAAAAAAAGATTTTGTTGTATAGATTGTTTATAGATATAGATTTCAGCAGAGGTCAGTCAGTCAGTTGCAACGTTGAACTGCGTACGTATGTACATAAGTTCATGTCGCCATACCACATTAGCACAGAGACGCAAATGTCAAATCAAATCCCATAGTGATAGAGATAGTAGAGGTATTAATGGTAATGAAGAAGATTAGGGTTTGAAGATATTATTTAAGAAGTATAATTCAGTGAGATAAGGTTAGAAAGACAAAGGTAGAGGTGCTGACGAATCCAGAAGATTAGGATTTGAGAGAGCTCAAAGAATGGATGCACCTGCGCCATTGCAAACGATTTTGAGCCATGTCGTTCAAGGTCTCTAACCATTGGTGACTTTCGTCTCGTGGACACCAACCAGGTAGTCTAAATTTACCGACATGACTCAATCCACCTGTCAGAGTATTCACGGATTTCTGCCATGTTTCGTCTTGGCCGCACCTAGCTTTGACCCAACCTACACCTATACCAGGCAGTTGGTGGTTAGGTATACGTAACACATGTCCCAACCACCTCAACTGATGAAGTTTCACCACTTCATCTATTGATCTGCCATCCTTACCTAGTACTCGTTTCCTAACGACAGCATTGCTTACTCGGTTATCCCGCGATATACGAGCAATGCTTCTTAAACATCTATGATCGAATACTAGTAACCTACGAACATCTTCTACTCTTAACGGCCATGTTTCACAGCCATATAGGAGAACGGAGCGAACTGCTGCACAGTACACCCGTCCTTTGGTTAGCTAACGGATATCACGCCTACGCCATAAGTGACGCAGTTTGGCAAAAGCCAACCGAGCCTTCTGTATCCGCGCTGAGATTTTGTCAGTCACCAGGCTATCAGCGCTGATGAGACTCCCCAGATAAATGAAGTGATCAACACGCTCGACTACTTCACTCCCTATCACTAGTTCAGGTGCCGATGCAACCCAGTCTTGAAGCAGCATTTTGCATTTCGAGGGGGAAAACCGCATCCTGAACATACTTGCATTGTTGCTTATGGTAGTCAGAAGACTCTGCACTTTGTCAGCGTCTTCACCGAATAGAACTATGTCATCGGCATATTCTAGATCTGTAAGCGAGTTTTATGGTAGAAGGTCAACCCAAAAAAAGTCCGATGAGCTTAATGTTAACTCTATGAGGATGTCTACGACAAAGTTAAACAAGAATGGAGAGAGTGGACAGCCCTGACGGACACCACTTGAAGTAGAGAGTTCAGATGACAGTTCGCCATAAGCTCTCACTCGACCAGTGGTGTTCGAGTAGAGAGCTTGTATAAGGTTAATGTACTTCTCTGGTACACCTTTCAATGACAGACACTGCCACAGAACCTCACGATCCACGGAGTCAAATGTCGCCTTTAGGTCCAGTAACACGACTATTTTCGGACGTCTAAATGTGTGTATGTGTTCCACGACCTGTTCCAGGACCTGTCGTAGTGTAAAGATGTGGTCTATACAACCACGTCCAGGTCCGAAACCAGACTGGTTTTCTCGAGTCTGCTCTTCACGAGCTCTAGTTAGGCGTCTAAGTATAATGGAGGCTAACAATTTAGAAACTATATTAGTTAGACTTATTCCCCTGTGATCGCACTAGGGCATGGTCTGAATCTAAACATGTGCCCCAGAACGAGCGACAGTCCTCTATCGAACCTCTCCATAGGTGGCTGATGGCGACGTGATCTAGTTGGCTCCAACGTTGAGACGACTTCGGGGGTCGTCAGGTCAAGAGTTGTTTTTCCTTATGCCTAAAGTTAGTGTTTGCTAGGAGTAGGCGGTTATCTGAGCACACTTGCAACAGACGGTCGCCATTGTCAGTTCTCTGAGCCGCGACACCATAACATCCACCTAGGTGTCTCTCCTGCTCACTTAGTCTACCTACTTGAGCATTAAAGTCACGAGCCATTATAACTATATCAGAGCGCTTAACTTTTTGGAGGAGGTCCGAAAGCTTTCTGTAAAACTCATCTTTTACATCTTCTGGACTGCAGTCAATGGGGGCGTAGGCTGATATGACGAAGAGGCAGCGACGAGTGTCACCATCCTTCCGAATCCTTACTGACCCGATTAGTCGGACAGCGCACAAGCGATTATCTACAGGGATCCAGTCAAGGAGAGATTGTTCTGCCCCACGACTCAATGCTATACCTACACCAGCGAGGCCCCTGGAAGCAGCATCAGGGCTAACGGATACACGAAGGGTAGATCGAGTTGCTTCTCTATCTTGACATGATGAGGTCAAGTGAATGATGCTACTCGGATCCAGTATGCGCGTTTCGGAGACGCAGCATACATCGATTCAGCGAGATTCTAAAGTCCTAGCTAATTAAGCCTGTTGCCTTATTTGACACAACGTCCGTACATTAACTGCTCCAACATGTAGTTTAGAGCGGGGTTTAAGGAGACCAGGAACGACGTTTCGCGAACTCACATCGTTTGCATTAGCTGTGCACGGTGATAGATGAATGTGAGAAGAGTTAGTCGTGAAGATAAGAGAGGTATTAGGGCGTGTAAGAAGGATTTGATTTTGACCAATTTGGTCTCGTGTGCTGTTACGGGTATGAGGGCAGTTGTCACATCATGGCTGCCCACACCGTGGAAGGTTGTTTCTTGAAGAACCTCAAAAGGATGGTAGATTAGTGTTGGTCTTGGAGACCTGGGAGCGTGACCGCAGAGCCCAAGGGACTACTGCTTGAAGCCGGTCACGCACGGCTCTTTTATGAGACGTTTTTTGAGGATTAGCTCCGCTCTTGAAAGCCCTTAGTGGGCACCCTTACCGCCGGAGACGGAAATCCGTGAGGTAGGGTGAGGTGTGACATTTTTAGGGCCGACCTTTTCTAACCCTTCCTTCCTCGTGAGAAGGCAGCATCGCTTCAGATGCTGGTTGTCTGAGGGAAACACCTTACTGCCGTCACACCTCTCTGCAGTCAGCAGTAGGACTTCCCCTCAGACCTTGAGTAGCTTCTTTTAGTCTCATCGTTCTCCAATCGACCTGCCTGGCATGGTAGAACCTTCAGGAACATATTTTTCAGTCAATATAGCTCGGTTGGGTCATCACGATAGGTAAGCCCGACCACCACGTCAAGGTAGAGGCTTCGGTCGGGTCAGCAGAGGTAGAATCGAGAATTAAGGAGTACTGTACAACTATTTGGTTTTAGTAAAAGAAATCATAACCAAAAAAATTTCAGATATATTGACAATGAAACAGATACCTTCGAAATCTCTAGATGATCTTCGCGCCGTACTGTCAAATAATCGAAATTTCAGATGTAAAGTTGGATTTTATCACTCTAGTTCTAACAATGAGCGGTTTGTTGAGGCCTGGTGGGGTCATAGTTGTTGTACACTGCAGAAAAGTTACACACCTTGATGAAACAACTGTCTAGTTCTTTCTGTTTTTTTAATTGTACTTCAACTTAGAATAGTTCTTGATATTAGTCAATCATATTCTGTTTACATTTACACAATGCCCATTTAAATAAAACATTAAATTTGTGCATCCTATAATAACTCAGAACTCCTTAAATTTAGATTGGTTGGTTGGGACATATGTTACGTATGCCTAACCACTGACTGCCTCGTCGAGATATGTTTTGCGATGTAGGAATAGGTTGGAGGAAAACTAGGAGAGGCCAAGACAAAACATGGCAGAAATGCATGAAGTCACTGACAAGTGGATTGGTTCATGTCGGTAGATGCAAACTACCTGGTTGGGCTCCGCGATACGATAGTAACCGACGGTTAGAGACCTTGAGTGATATGGCTCAAAATCGTTTGTATGTGTATCCACTCTGAGTTCTGTGAAATATTAATCTTCTTTAATCGTCATCACCTTTAAGTATTTTATATGTTTAATTTTTTTAAGTTTAATTCATTAGATTCTACTTCTTCAATAATCTCTTCGAACCCTAATCTCTCAGATTACTGCTAATACTTTTGCTACCTCTACTACTATGGGATTTGAAGTGACAACTGCATCTCTGTGCTGATGTACGTCCGTACGAAGTTCTACGTTGCTGTTGATTGATTGGATGATTTATTGAAATAATGAACCGATCATTATTATACCACCATTAGAAAAAAACCCGGGAGTACTAGACGGCTGCTTTGTTCTTGTATGGAATTCATCAGCACCGAGCATCCGAGACTTCCATGGATTGACCAGTGAAGTTCAACCATGTCGGGTGTGAGGCAGTTACTAATTGAAGACAATGGATGAGGTTCCATAATACTTTGGATTGATAAAAGTTAGACATTTACACTGATGAATGTCGGCTTAGGGGTCTAGAGATTATGTGTTTCACGAAATAGACCGAATGTCCTGGGTTGTTCTCTCTCTAGTAAACTCCTCCTAATCAGTTTTTCAATTTCTAATGTTTATTGTTTGAAAGGTTGATATTTATTAATTTATTTCACTTATTGATGATGGATCAATCTAGTTTGCCATTTTTGAACAAATATTACTGTTGATCAATATCATCAAAAAAATTACATTTATAGTTTGTATCACGAACTGAAAATAATCAAATTTTATAGATGAATAGAATGTTGTTAAATTGTGGATTGTCAAATTCTAACAGTGTACATACATCATTTACGTTGTGAGAAAGTAAGGAGTCCTGTTCTCTAACTGAAAAACTATAATCTTTGAACTATCAAGTAAGAGTTCAATCGTTTTCATCCTTAACTTCAATTAATACTGTCCACTTCTCAATGACATTTGAAACAATTGTCTGATTCAATACATGATTGACTTTACTGAACTTATAGTGTTATTATAATAGAAAATTTTATGTTGAAGCTAATCGTACATATGTAAAATTCGATAAACATGGAACAGAACTAAAGCTAAAAGTGCAAGTCAATTCAAAATATCCATATATACAACAATTTACTCTTAATTCATTGAACTGTATTCTACTATACCAGAAGT